ATAATCAACATCTTTCAAAGAAAAATGACTGGGAAGAAACTAAGAGGACGCCCAAGAAAATAATATTTTGAAAATATCCTGAAACTCATGAATTGTGCGTTTTTTGATTCACTGAAGAATTTTCCATCAAACAGGGAGGNGTGCGTTTTTTGATTCACTGAAGAATTTTCCATCAAACAGGGAGGAGTGCCTTCAAAGACAAGGCATTGATTTTTATAAATGATGATGATGAATAAATACAAAATAATGAATAAATGAATACATGAATAAAAACCTATTATATTAATTAAATTTAATATGAAATTTATATTGAATTTAATATTGTAAATTTTACAGAGAAATAATAAAATATCGAAAAGACGTTATACATTCTTTTAATATTAATCACTCAGTGATATCTCTTAAAATAATTATTAAATTATTAATTGTTAATCCCAAAAAGAAATCAAACAGATTAACACCGAAGTATTTTTACGATAGTGACACAGATATGATGAAACAATGATAGTACATTTCGAAATTTTATGATAAATCGAACATTCCAATTAGAAATGTCACCACATAAAAGGAATTATATTATTGTACAGCGCCTTTTACAATAATTATTGTAGTAAATAATTGGTTATACATGTTATACTAGTGTTAGTGCATAATAATGAAATTTCAAAAAATATCATGCATTTGAGCAGGTTTATCTACTATGTGATAACAAATAATAATCAAGTGTTTACTATTAATGTATGTATAATTCTATAATGGCTATTTGAGTTACTATAGCGTAGGCGTATACAAGGGGGCACTCGACCCCTTGACTTTTTATAGAGTCATATTTCATGGAGCCAATATGAAAATTTTTTGTTAGGAATATTAAATATAAACTCCGAAAAATAAAAGTGAACAATTATTTTGTGACTCCTAAACATTTTTACTGTCCTTTAAATAATAAGGTATACAATGATGAATTATTGCAATCATTTTGGATAAGTTTGTTTATCAGATGCTATATTAGCAGACTATTACATCTTTCATAGAGAGCTATTATATAGAGAAACTATTGCCATGTCTTTTCTATTATTACCATACATAAGATAAATAAGATTTGTGGTCTTATTATTATGTATTACGAAGTATTTTTTTGTATCTAGAACCTATGTGTAATCGCTCCGTGTTGTCAGAGATTTCATATTTTCATTTTTCATATGTTAAATTAAGGCTACATTAATTTTTAACTTAGATGCGAAGCTGAGAAAGTATTGATTTTATCATGATATGCATGTTTTTGTACATCCATGAAAATTCTCAGCTCTCATTGGACCGATTTTGTAGGTTTATGTGTCAAAAGAATCTAATTTTAATGTAGTTAAATCTACCCAGTGTCCAAAATTTAACAAACAATTTTATTCAAAAAAATGAAAAAATATCTCAAAAGTACAGTAATGTAAAAAATGATATTTTCAATATATTTTTTCTGCATTTTAAAAATACTATAACTTTTTATAGTTTATTATTATTCATAATAAGATATTACTAAAAGAAACTAGAAAGAATAGCTTTGTTTTGTAATGCTTAATATAAAAATTCGTAGACAAAAACTTAAATACAGGAAATTTGGGAAAAACGGGGTAATAATGAATTTTTTTTTTTTTCAAATATTTAATTGAGATACATGTTCAGTATTTGTTATCTAGTTGTCGTATTTAATTACCACCCAACCTTGAAATTATGATTAAAATAAATATTATCTTTTTTTTAAAAACAAATATTTTAAAACCAAAAACTATAACATAACTTATATTTTTAGTAATTACTCAGGTATAGTTTAAAACAGAACACAATGAATAAAAACTTATCTATCTATAGAGTACTATATCCATATCAGACACAACATATTTTATCGATTGATTGTTAGTTAAATTATCCAACAGATTTTTAAATGTATATATTAAGAATCGAATTATACAGCGTGGTTTTTTGTAACTCTAGTCACTCAATTTCTCAAAATAATACTTTTTTTAATAATTTTGTTTTTGTTAGTAATATACTCATTTCCATTTATCTGTTATAAAATTATTTTTAGGTCCATCCCTTATATATTACAAGGGTGTGAATTTTATTTTTAAAATGGTAACATACATATTATACTAGCTTATAAAATAGAAAATTATCTAATTATAGAAATTACTGGTCGATAACAATTTTTGAACAAGTAATTTGGAAGTTATTCTCATTTCATACCTAAGCGGGAAGAAAAGTATGGTCGGTAAATGACTTATGATAAAATTAGTAGCATCTACTCCTCACCGCCAGTCATTACTTTAAATTGTTAATAAATTTTGAAATACGGGTCCATAAGTTGTTATCAATCAGTCATTTTTTGTTTTACAGGCTAACATAAAAGAATCACACTGTATATCTAAGACATAGTATCAATAATTAAATTTAAAAGGATATTAATAAATTTCATTCCATCAAAATCTTTTGTCTGAATTCGGAAACGAACGTCTTGGTATAAAAAGAGCTGAAAATGGCGACGGCGATACAGTAACTCCTTCTTGGTGTATATCAGGCAATTGCACGCCTTCTGGAACCTTAAGCTCGAAATTTTGAAGAATTTTAGCAACAAACATAAATACATTTGTTTTAGCCAATACTTCACCTAAACAACGCCTTCTACCTACATATATATTATATTATATTATTAGTACTATTTATTAATAGTTTACAAAATGTTTATAGAAAAAAAATAGTTTAAATTTACCTATTCCAAATGGTATGAACCAACTGTCGTTTATGATTTGTCCTGTTTCATTTAAAAATCTTTCGGGTCGAAAATTTTCAGGATCACCCCAGTGCTGTTTATCCATATGCACACTCCATATACTTGCCAAAATAAGTGTATCCTTATACAGTTTAATAATAAATTTCAATTTATGTAAAAAATATGTATAATATTGAAATTATTTCTAGTTTTGGCTAAAATTTCCAAGAAGTGACTGATAATAAAATGTTTATTAATGTTTCTAATTTATAATAAACTAGAAGGAGTATCGATATAAGTCAATATTGACCATATCAGAAAATCGATATTAGGTTTTTTTTAAACCGATATCTCCTCCTAAATAAGCAATAATGCAATAAAATTTAACAAACATTTTTTTCTTTAATTTTCACTTCAACTTATTAGTTTTAAATAATTTTATTAAATAAATTTTTTTTGTATAGTTCAAAAAATAGTTATTTAATTTAAATTTATCTATTTAGTCGTCTTCAATATTAAATAATTTGTAGAGTATTCAGTAAGTTAGGAAATTAATTTCAATTGTTTTAATAAATGGCCTGTTTCCTTACATTATGGACACTGTATAAAAATGTATACTTTAATTGTACCTAACTTCTTTATTTATATTACAAAAAAATGTAGGAATATAGTATTTTTTCATTTTTGAGGGTTATACATAATTTTTATTCTAAATAACAATTATATTGAATTTTTATTGCTTAAAACTTGTAAAATAACATTTTTGCAATTCAACTAATATTTTCTATAACCAACTTGATAAACCATGCCAGTAAACATAAAATATATAGTAATTTTTCAGTTTTTACATTTTTAAAAAACGATTTTACTCAACTTTGGTTACCTATATATTATATGGTATATGTTAACCTTATTACATCAGTCTCATATATTGTATAAATCATGTTTATAAGCATTAAAAAAATCCTAGAGTTGTAATTAGTGAAATTACAGGAAATCATTTTAAAGAATTCCTCAAATGGACATTGCAAAGAGTTATAAAAAGAAAACGAAATATATTACTGTTAATTTTTTTATGTATGAAATAATTTTCATTTTTTAAATTGTTTTGTTTCAGTGCAATTTGTAATGTCAAATCTATTATAGGTATTATATCGGAAAAAATTTCGTCTGATCTGATTTAATCAGGTTTATTTTCACAGAAATTAAAAAAAATATTTTTTCTCTCTTTATTTCAAATAATATCCTTAAAAAGTCATCAGAGAATTTTTGTGGTTTATGTTATATAGGTCATTATTTTGTAAAACTGAAAGTAAAATATTTTTGTAATGTTTGGATTAATTGTAATTTCCTGAATTATTGTTACTAGACTAGGAAATAAATATTTATAAACACTTTTGAAAACGATTGTATTATGAATTTTGTAAAAAAAAGAAAAAAAAATATTTTAGTATATAAGACGAAATTGAATGAATTGAAAAGGAGCGAAGACCTCGGGAGTACCGAAGGTAATCTCTTTTCGCGTGGTACGTTTGTGACATTAAGTTTTCATTTTGTGTATTATTTATTTATCCTGTTTTAAGTGTATAATTATTTTGTATGTTTTATTTTGTTTGATTATATCTTTAATAATTACATTTGCGTTATTATTGAACTATTATTACTATAAGTTATAACAAAAAGGTTGTTACGTATATATTTAAATACAATACTTATTAAGTAAGCAAGAATATCTATTTATTTCTGAAAGAGGTAATCAATAAATTATTAGTTAGAGCTCTATAACTTATTTTTATTTTTCAATACTTTATACTTCATTTGAATCAATATAACAAAGTCAATTTGACAATGTTATTTATAAGAAATTGTTATTTTTACTTAATTATTATTAATAAAATTTTGTATGAAATTTGTTTAAATAGTGAACATAAATTCAAAAAGGGCTAGAAGGGGCCTAACCACCCACTAAATGAAAAAATGATGTATTATATAATTGTTGTATAAAAGTACTTTTTATGATGGCAGGAAATTCAATTGGCACCCTCAATAATTCTATTCTAATTGCGTCTATGGTTAATACTTAGATGGTCAAAAATTTGCCTTCTTTTAATGTCATTGTTAGTTATTATTATTGTTATTACTATTATACATCAAAATAAAACAAAAAAAAAAAATACATATTTTGTAAACATTTTACTGGACTAAAAAGGCTAAAGATCATGTTCAAAGAAATAGATAGGCTAGAATGAGCACTGATAAATAACCTGAAATGCACTGGGATCTAATTAATATATTATTTTTATAATTATTGACTTACATTGGGAATTTTATATTCTTGTAAACTAGTTTTTCGAATTGAGCGATGAGCTATAGCTATTGGAGCTACATTGCTATGCCTTTGAACCTCCATTAGCACGGCCTCAAGGTATGTTAAACTTTGAAAAAAAATTATAAATTTGAATCTTTTATTTATTTATTATAATAATAATATTTGAATCCGATAAGATTTTTAGTTTAACTAACTTGTTTTTATCAGATAAAAGAACTTCACGATCTCCTACTGCTGCATCTAATTCTGCATGGACTTTATCTTGTACGCTTTGATTTCTGAGAAGATGTAAAATTACAAAAGATAATGTACTACTTGTCGTTTCAGAACCGGCCAAAAACAAATCTAATAAAAGTACTAATAGTTGTTCTTCGGAGAAGGATTTTGTTGATTCTTTATTTTTTTCAATCTCTTTAAGAAATGCACATATTAAATCTTCTTCGTCGTTTACCCTATGCTTGTGATCTTCAACTGATGCCTAATTTAAACTTGAACTGTTTAAAGAATAATTAATTATCAAAATTCAGTATTTTATTACCTTAAGAAACGTATAAAACTCGTGTAATATATGTTTTATGTCTCTGTATCCTGAGCATTTTGGTGCTAAAAATCTTATAAAAGGCATTTGATTAAGAATTCCTCCTGACATATCTAACATTCTAAAGCTGACATGAGTCAGTTCCATCAGCTTTGCTAGTTTAGAGTCGTAAAGACCAAACCTTTGACCCGCTAACATTGCCCAAAGACCATTTAAAACAGAAACGTCAAACAATCCATTTACATCAATTGGCTTATTACCATTCTATAATTAATGAAATGAGTTACTGTCATATTCATAAAATTGAGTAAACAATCTAAAAAATGTTTAATTGAATATTTATTTTGACTCACGTCACTTCTTCTTATTAAGTCCAATAATAGATTATTAACTTCTTCATTTATAAGTTTTTCCATTGATATACTTCCAAATCCCATTTTACGCAAATGTTGCATACAGAATTTTCTTTGTTCAGTCCACATGGGTCCATCCACAAACACAATTCCTGCATTTTATTAAATGAATAATAATGTATAAAAAAGATTATTAGCTGATTTTTAAATATAAAAATTAATTTGGGTAAGTAATTTTTTAAAAGATATTAAAAATATATAAATTTTCACCTAATCTTTTGTAAAAAGCTCTAAATCGAAAAAAAAATCCGTCTGGTCGACCGTCAAAATCATCTTTACATAAAACTTGACGAACTGCATCGTAACCAGTAACAACGACAGCTTCTATTCTACCAAGTTTTACAGAAAAAACTTGTCCAAATTGTTGCGATAAATGGTCCCAAACTAAATGGTAAAAGCCTAATTTTTGCCTTAATTTTCTTATTTCCAAATAGCTCCCTACGAGGGGAAACCTCTTAGGCCCTGTAAAAATAAAAAAATTTAAATACTTAATTTCAATATAAATAAATTGCACTATATTTTCACTTTATTATTTACTAATACTATTTGAAGAGTGAATGTGTCAAACGTTCTATGTGCCAAAAACATATTTGTTCAGAAAACACAAAAAACAATGGTAACATGGGCATGTCTCACATATCGAACACCATCTATGAATGCAATTTTGTACAAGTAAATAATTTAATTGACATTTGAAACGCAAATAAGATTGTGGCCTTTGGCACATAGAACGTTTGACACATTCACTCTTCATTTATTTAATATAACAGATAAACTATATCCATTAAATGTTGATTAATTTGAATTTATCAAAATATAAATTGCAAGTTCAACCATGAAGTATAAAAATTGTCAAAAATACGTTCATTTCTTTTTATTATTTTAAATGTATTTTCGCATAAATATTTTTGTGGTTAATCTTTATAAAAATATATATTATGGATTACTTAAGTCCTATATCGTAATAAGTGATAAATAGGAATAACTCATGATAATTTAAATGAATCTACAAGTAGACTTAAATACAATGTTTATCACCTCACCTTTAGTACAAGCCATTTATAACGGTGTTAGCCACTGTATTGTTAAGAGCAAACAACTTGTATATTTATACAAGTACAATGTCCTTACGTTATCTTTAAAAAAAGGATAACCGTTAGCCTATTCAAAATAACAATCTCATTCCTGTTATCGATTACCCGATCATCCAGCATACTTAATTTATACATATTTTGATTTCTTTTAGAAAATAAGCGTATAGTGGTTAGGGGTTTAAAACCTACACCTGACCTATCTCAAGATCTTAACTAGTTTCTAGGTCAACTGTTTCATTATTGTTTACAATATACCGAACGTAATATTTTTCTTGTTTTAAATTAATGATTCCTCAAACAATGTTGTCCTTTTTGGTTACAGGTATTTAGTTTATAGATGCGTAGAGGATCACATAACAACTAATCAAAAACATGGGTTGTTGATATTACTATTTACAGCATCTGTACCGTTCGTATTGTGCAACGACAAGGTACCTCCTAGTGTTTATAATATGAGACTAAATAAAAAGCATCGAAAACATTATTTATGTTATTACAAGAAAGTTAGGCCTAAAGACATTTAGTCATCTAACCTTGAATTCTACGATGTAGATTTTAATAAGCCGAAAATACTTGAAAGGCTTTACTTAAAAATAACTTTCTATAACACAAAGAAATGTTTAAATATAACTTGAAATCATTACCATTTTTATCGGTATCTAATCCTTAAAACTTCATTGATCGAAAGTTTATTTAAAAATTGAAAAATCTTCTATTTAATTCTGTGTTTCTATTTATAACACTAATAAATGTATATATTTTTTTCAAAAAGAAAATAACGAAAATTAAAAATATAAAAATTATTCTATCAAGGAAACTTAATTAAGTAAATTACAATCAAATTTTTGTTTAATTTTTCTAAATTCACCTATTAGATAATTCAAAAAGAAAAAATTAATTATGCTATCTTAAAAATAATTTTAAAAATCTAACAATTATTATATCAAAATAAATTTTTATAAAATATTCACAAAACCCATTCTAAATTAATATGAAAATACCAATTATTCACTAAGATAAGTAGTTTATTATAAATACATTTGAAACACTCTAATAAATTTTTTACCATGGCAATAATTTCGATGTATTCTTACATCAAACGTATGTTAATCATTGTAAAAAGTTTAAACTTGAAATGTTTGATATTGACTTTTTTTTTGAGTTATACTTGAAACATATTAATTATAATATGCTAATCATAATATTATAATATTGTAATTATTATATTACTAACTGATAGTTTACTGATAGAGGCTGTTTTCGATTTATATCAAATTAAACAAAGAAAGCTAAAAAATAATAACATTTTTTATAAAAGGTTCCAGTTTTGATTTATCAATTAAAAATTTTAAAGAATTTTCATTTTCAATATTTTTAAAGGGTTCCTTTAATTTATTTATCAAACAAATGTTGACCATTTTTTAACCAAAAATATAATTAATGTTGCCGAATTAAATCTTACCGATAGGATATTTATGAGGTGTGATGATGTCCAATATGCAAAAAATTATTAACACAAAAATAATAACAACGGCGAATAGCATAATTGTATTCAAAATTTAAAAAATAACACTACTTGTATATCTGCAGCGTGTCTTATGCCTATGCGCCGAAAGAATGGATTGAACGAGTGATGCTGACTGGCCTCCGGATTTTGTTAAAAAACTGTACTTCTTGGGAAGGGGTCTTCCGTTTATTTTCCTTTTATTTGTTTCTTTTCTTTTTTTTTATACTTACTGTTCCTTCTGTATTTTGGCGATCTTATCCTGATCCATTCAAAAAATAGAAACACTTTGTTGGACACTATAGAAGTTCTAGTCCCATTTACATAACATTAATATATGTACAAATGTACACTATATTATATATAAATATATTACATCAATGAACTAAACTATTGTTGGTATGAATATAATGTGATCAATGTGAAGCTATTTCGATAATCGGCCGGAAATATTGACTTATCTTAAAGGGCAAAATTACCATTTATTACACATACTTTGGCAATAAAATATTTAATAAGAACTAACCTTCCTTATAAATTGAATCTTAAAATTTTTTGGCATGTTATAGTACATTATTACTTGTTATTTTATAAAACTTACATGATGTATTATAAGTTGATGTATTGAAAATTTAAGTTAAGTTTAATTTTTAGCTTCGATGAGAAGCTGTGAAGGTATTAATTTTACCAAAATGTGTTTTTTTTTTGTGTCTATTGCCATTTTTTATTATTAATAATAGGGGAAGTTGACAAACTTCCTTTGTTAATTAATTACTGATGGATAATTATTTGAAAGAGGAACATACATTTGAATTTACCTTATGTTCCAGAATAATTTACTGTTATTCTATTTGTTTAAATAATAAACCTCTAAGAATTATAATGTAATGGAACTAAAAACATCAAAAGCAATATAGTATTTCCCAAGTTAATGGTAATTGAAAGAACTAGAGTAAATAGCTAATAAAATTTTGTCTTCATAGTCACAACTTTAAAATAGTTAGCAATCTTATTACAAACATAATTTTGGTTTCTAACCTCATTCACTGCCAGCGATATAATCCTTACCGATTAACAAATTTTTCTTCATACTTAGAAATATATTATAAATATTATTTAATTCCTTTTATATAACAAAGAATCTTCATATTTGTTTGTTAAATTAGTTTGTAAAGGTTATTATTGTTTAACATTGGATTTATTAGAAAAATATCGTTTAAAAATATTTATTTTTTAAGATTCAGTGACGCAAATGAATAAAATACATAACTTCTCCATTTAAATACATAAATAGCTATATAATAGTTATAGCTATTACAAATAATACAAATTTAACTAGCAGTATTTTGAAATGTATGATGTAATAATAGTAAATTTTTTGTTGTTCGAATCCAATTTTAGTGATTAACTCATGATTACGGTAGTTTAATTAATTAAGAATATATTTAATTTTTTATTCAATTTTTATTTAATAACTTGTGATTAAAAATGTGACCAAATCAAAAGAGCATACAATGTCAATTTTGTGATTTTATAAGAAATTGTCCTAAATGCCCATTTAAGTCTTTTGCAATCGTTATTTTTAGAATATATTGTTGACATTTTTACACATTTAAGTCATTCAGTCAGCTGATTTACGGATGAAAAAATTTTTACTAATTCCTAAAAATTATCTCGATGATCAACTTTGAATATGTTTAACTCTTAATAGTTTTAATAGTTTACAATATCTTAAAATTGAGTTAACGTTATTCGGCTATTTTATTAAATTTTTAAAACGAAATATTTAATATTAATATAGTTTTGTTTAATTATTGTCAAACACAATACTTTTCATTATTTGATTAAGAGAGAATCAACTAATTTGATAATTTCCATAAATGGACTTTTAAATATTAATACTATTACATCCAGCCAATTATATCAAGAATAGTTGCGTTAATTATAATATTCTAAATAAATATATTTGGGAAACCCAACTATTATATAATGGCAGGGGCCATAATTTAATAATAAGAAAATAATTCCATTACAAACTCGCGCCAATGGCCATTTTCATTTTTTTCTAGAAAGTTGTTAAATAATATGTACTTGAAATACGTCTAAGAAATTTACCTTATATATTACATGAAAGATACACGAAAATAACAATGCGAGTCACTTTTTGATAATTGAGAAAACAGTTTTTAATTTTGAAAAGTCTCAAAACAATTTTTTAACAAACTAAATATTCAACCGTCCCCCCAACAAAGAAGACATTATGTTTAATGTTACATAAGTAACCATTTTAAGGAGGAGGGAGTGCAACCCTCTATTATACAATTTTTAAATGGAATAAAATAAAATTTTAAATATTTGGATGGGAATTTATATTTTTATCACCACCCAATCTTCATAAATTATCTACGCTTCTATGTAAATACCTAAAATTTGTAAAATTTAAAATCCATAAGTACTTCAATAATACTTTTTAAATTTGTAAATCTTATTATATAATAGAACAAGGGAAAAAACGCTTTTCTGGAAAAATTATTTTGCATGCTCAAATTTTTAAAATTTTTTTTTTCATCGAAAGTACTCGGTCACCAGACTCCGGGAAAATTATTGGCAAAGGTTCGAAAATTTTTGCAGCTCGCTCGTAAGCGTTTTAAATTTTCGACCGTTTTTGAGAAAAACCCTCGTAGACGCCAATATTTAAACGACTTAAGATTTGAAATTTTTACCAGACACAGCCAATGTCATTCCTCAGATATGATAAAAAAATCAATTTAATCCGTTCATTTTTCACCGTTTAACAAGCTATTTTTTTTTTAAGTCCACGCCCATGGTTTTAATATGGGCATTGACTCACTTTTGCGTATACGCTTATATTATCAAGGATTGTTATATGTTATATATAAATTTCAAGACGGTTAAAATTATATAAGTTTCTACATTCATTATCAGAACATTACATTATTAATAATCTTATTTTTCCCATATATGATGTATGAGTCTATGAGTACATCATTTAAATTAGGATCCATCTATGACAACTTTACTGTCCAACGTCAAATCACAAATACCAATATTTTTGTCAAAATTAGTATTTTAATGTTATATAATATTTTTTACATAGTCCCACGTATAATTAGAATATTAATTTAAAATTAAATTTAAATTTAAAATTTAAATATTAATGATTTTTGTGTATACCAGAGGTGTATTTAAAGGGGGACACGGCCCCCTTGAACCGGCGCTATCAATATTTTTAGGCAACTTCTAAGAAACAAGAACCTAATGTCCTTTTTTTTTTATCATCACTTTGATTTATTGCAAAAAAATTCTATAGTAATTTAACAAAGTAAAAAAATATTAAACACCCTCCTTAAATAATTTCTGAATACGCCTAAGGAGAATACCTCATTAACAAACGTCAATCTTATACCCAATACATTTTACCATATTCTCTTTTGGAAATTTCCTGATTTTAATAATTACATTTTTAATTTAATTTTTTGTTACACTGATTCTGATTGAATATTATTTCTGCAAAACACTTATCGTGTCCGGGTACTCCTACCGAATCATTGACCTACTTATGATGACAGCCTGAACAGGCTTACGCGACGTAGGCGTATAAGGCTCATAAGGCCTCGGGTCTGGATCGGAGCCTCAGCTAGTCTAAGCCTAATTAAAAATAAAGAAGTATTATTAACTTTTTAGTTGTGAACTTAATAAAAGTATAAAACTGTTAAATACAAATTGGGTAAAATATTATTAAATATTATTAAAAAATAATATATATACAAATATATTGGAATTATTATTGGCCACTAAATTTCTCCTATAATCTCTTGATTTATAATACTTTATAGGTCTATCCCTTATAAGGGTACCAACTTATTTTTTTTAGTAACAACATACATATTTATTTAGCTTATAAAATATAAAATTTTCAAATTAAATTAAATTACTGGTTAATAACAACTTTTGAATCAGTTTTTCGGAACTTACTAGTATTTTTATACCTAGAACAGTGGAAAAGAAATGTCTGATTAGATAAATAGTTACACTCGATCACTACTATACTAAGCAATAAAATGAAAACTATACAAAAAATTGGTTATAAATTCAATGATTATTTTCAATTTGATAGACAGATATTTAAAAAAATGAATACTAAAGTCAATCGAGCTAGGCAGTAAGGACAACAAATAAAAAAAAAACCGGTTAAACAAACTTAAAGTGTCATAGTTGTATAATATAGTGAAAATACCGCATTAGAAAACGAATCTCAAATGGTAAGATAGACGGCTCCTATTTAACCCAATAATCACTCAATTGCATTCTCTCGTGAACCGCAATATAGTAATAATTGTTTTAAGAATCGACATCCTGGTTATTTTCCAGTACGATAAAACTTTCGACGGATTTAAATCGTTCTTTATAATTAGTTTAATTAATTTTATTATCTATTTTTATAATTAGTTTTATAGCTTAAAAAATAAATTACAAAAATGAAAATTTTTTAACATCAAAATCTTAATTTTCTAAAAATGTCTCATTTCTTGTGTCTTATTTATTACTATCTATCATAAAATACAAAACATTGGTGTCATGGGAAGTAGTCTAGACCTCCTGGATTATCCGCAAATCAAATTGTAACTCAAACAAAAGTATAATAGAGATTAAGAATTTAAGGCAGTAACTACGAGGGTGTTAGAGAGTGCTGAAACACCCAAAACGGTAAATCAGCATCTTTAAAAATTTACAAAGTAATATATACTATAACATCGAAATTTTTTTTTAAGTGAGAATTACTAGTTTTTTTTAAATTAGCATCTCCAAAAAATGTTAATATAGTTACACAACTGATTTTAGGTAACATGTGATAGTAATAATTATTATTATTATTATACAATAAAAACCTATTTTTTAGACAGTGTACCTACATCATTTTAGCAGTTGGTGTCACTGTAGTATTTCATCACAGATCAAGTTACCCCTACTTTTTTTTATCCGTCCGGCGTCTACAGTACGTATCACGTTTTTCTGTGCCACAGAAATATACCTTGTTGCCTTTATTTTCTTCTTGAGCTGTATTTTTTTTTTTGTCAGTTGTTTTTAATACATAAAAAATGGAAAATTAACTGCTATAAATACTTTTGCATTTTTCCCAGGCAATTTTTTTTCAGTGGTATAGTATTATTTAAAATAATTTGATAGTCATCATGTCCGATGTTTCTTCAGGTAAACTCAAGGAACAAGACTTGTCTAACTTGGTAAGCTAATTTTAAATTTATTTTTGAAAATATCAAGTGATATTTTAATCTCTTATTATTTTAATAAGATTATTGTACTTATTTTTAGGATGTTACCAAGTTAACTCCATCCTCACCTGAAGTTATTAGTCGTCAAGCTACAATCAACATAGGTAAATCATTGTTATTATAATTACTTTTATTTTAATAAAATGGTAAATTATAAATTTTAGTGTAAAAAATGTTTGTATTATTCTATTTTAGGAACAATTGGTCATGTAGCTCATGGCAAGTCTACCATAGTCAAAGCTGTGTCTGGAGTGCAAACTGTACGATTTAAGAATGAACTAGAGAGAAATATTACAATAAAATTAGGTAAAAGTTTTTATTTTATATCGTAAAATAAATCATTTTCTATACCAGTGTTTTAATGTTATGTATATAATAATTAGTTGCTCTTCATTCTGTTAAGATCCATTAGTTCTTTAAAATAGAATCTAGTGAAACAATATGAATGTTTAAATTAATTGGACTATTTAATGAGTCTAATAAGATTTTAGTATGATAAACATGATCATTTAATGACAGGAATTATTTTAGATTATATTATTGTTAGATATCCCAAATTTTTTTTCCAATTTTCTTTTTTTAGATTATTTGAATTTGTGTAGTGTAATATTATTCATGAGATTTTTAGTAATAGCCTTTTACTAAATATGAGTAAAACTTATTTATTATTAGGAAAGACTATAACATAATAATTTCATTCTTAAATTATGAAAATTCGTGTTAATTTTCCATAAGTTGCATATACTTTTATAATATATGCTTGTTTTTATAATAATATAATTTTTAGCTATATTTATATGTTTTGAATACTATTCTAAAAGTGATTCAATTAAAAAATTACAATTTTATTTTCATAATAAAAATAATAAAATATTACATTTTAACTGGAAAAATGGTATACCTTTCAAAATACAATCAGAGTTTTTATTTATTTATCTAGAATATTAAAAAATTTAAATGATCATTTGTACTCATTTTAAGGAAATGCTAAGTATTTTCTTTATCCAGGATTATTAGAATGATAACATAAGTATAAAAAATGACAAATAAAATAGTTAATTCTTTATTTAACATGTAAATATTTAATTTTCATAACTATTAATTCATATGAATACCATTAATATAAATATTTTGATTAATTATTTAAAAATATTTTTAATTTTATAAAAAAAAAAGTCATACTCCAATATATAAATAACTGATTTTGTTATTAATAATTGATAACAATTATTAATTATTATTTATTTATGTTGTTGGATAAATACTTTGTAAATATTTAGCGATTTATTAAGTTTTATGAATATTTATCATAATATATTTTATGGTTTATAGTATCAGTGAATACTTGGTTTTATTTATGTATATGACTTATCTATTAAAAACTTTTTATTAACACTATCTTATTCAAAGGAAGTATACTGCATTTAAATAAAAAAAAAATTTATTTTTGGTATCAAAATTTTTGAAAAAATAATGCTTAAACTGCCAAATAGCATCCTCAAATGTTAGAAAATAACAATAAATTTAAAGATTATGTATACCTTTTTAAAAGTAAGACAATTTTTATATAATATTTACATAGTAGTATACAACTTTATATGATTAAATCTATAATGTCAAAGCTGTTAATTGTGTGATAATATTATTTGAAAGAAGAGTATTAATGTACTTGCCTTATTAAATACTTTATTTTATTTTAAGAAATTTTGAAGAAAAAAAAATGTTAAATTTTGTTTATACCCTTTGAATGAGATAGCATCAATATATAACCACGTGTATCAAGTCTTTAAATAATTTACATTGTGTGGCTTGACATAGACACAGTTGAAGAATTGCTTAGCAATAAACACATATTTTATTTTTAATTTTATCATAATCAGCTCAAATATTTATTTATATGGCATTAGATACGAGGTAATTCTTTTATCATGAATACCTTAATTAAATGAAAAATTGAAGTAATATTAATCATTTTTTTTTTCTTTAAGTTTATGTTTTTTCATTCGTCAATCATGAAGTATTTTTCATATTCATCTCTTAAACATTATAGAGATGTCAACTTTATTATTCAAATGACAATATTTTTATAATTAAATAGATTATTTCTTAGAAATTGGTCTAATTAAAAAAAATACTGGTAGGTATTACCTTTTAAATCAGTATTTCAGAAGTGATTAACAATTTTAAGTAACAACTTGAGATGAGGCACAATTGCACTGATATTTTTATTATTAGACAAATTTATTTGTTGCCATTTGAAAAATTAAGTTGATACCCTTATAAAAGGAATCTCCTATTCCTTTTATATTCATCTCCTGATGAATATAAAAAATATTTTATGATCCATAAATTAAAAAGAAACATGGAACTTAAAGAAACCAATACAAGAATTATCAATATTATTTTTATTTTTGGATTTATAAAGTGTTTCATGATAAAATTAATCACTCTGTACTAGTGTCCACTATTTTGAAAAATTGTATAACTTTTCATTTACTAAATATTTTACCTTACTTTTTTTTTTAATTATTATTGTACTTTAGGACTGAAAATATCATCAGAAATAATGTTTTTTTAATTTAATGAATAAAGTCATTTTTTTTAATTTCTCAAAAATATTTTTAAATAAATATCTTATTAATGTTCAGTAATAAATTTCTGTAGCATTTTAAAGTTCTTTTGTAAAAAGTGGTTGGCCTGGCCTAGTAGGTATGTTTTGGTGTACAAGTCCCGGGTTTGATCCCCAGGATGCCGAAAAGATTTTTCTTGTGATTTTCTCAATGATGGTGTATCTGGTCTCTGGTGCAATCTGACCATAATACCTGCCCATTATTGGCTTAGCCAAGAACCATCTTTGATTTCCTAATATGTAAAAGGTGGGGTCGCCACCCTCTGTAAATGGTTAATTCGGAAAATAGAAGGATGTAAAACTGATCATTTATTTTTATTTTAAAGTTTGAGAATACTTGAATTTTCATGTGTTTATTTTACAGTATGAAACATTAATTATGAAACATTAAATTATGTATTGTGAAAAAGGCAGAAGAAAACATTCTTTTTTTGCTAATTATTGGGATTATAGGTTTAAAAAATTTTCCATGAAAATTGTTGTTTCTATTACAGATCAATACAAAAGTTATTTGATGGAAGAACTCAATAACTCTAATTTGTATTTAATATCAAATGATAATTTACCTTTATTCTTTTCATAATAAGATACACAAATTTTTTTGCCATTAAATAAAAAAACATTATTACAAATTTAAAATACTGTAGAACTTTTTTCTATAAAACACAAAATTATCACCTTTTTATATATTTTTTTTTAAATTTTATTTTTAAGTTTACTGTAAATAGCTATCTGGTTTTTTGTAAATTTAAAAAAATTATTATTATTGATGATATATTCATAGTCCTAATGAAAATATTAATTTAAAAAAAAAAGTAATGCAAAATATTTTTGTAGTTCAAAATATATTAGGTTTTTCAAAATATTGTGGTTTATCATGTATAATATATTTTTAAAAACTACTATTTTAGCTTGATTTTTTGCTTTTTTTATGTTATATACTATTAACTACAAATTTAATTTAAAATATATATTCCATTGAAATCATATTAAAACAATCCCAACCATGTAATGAGAATATTATTTTTTTATTATATCATCAGATAGTGCTGTTAAATCTGTAGTTCTGTAAACACTTCATTACTTTTGATCGTTCTTGCAAATAGTGACGATCATTTTTATATTAAATGTGTTACAGACTCAGCAGATGAAGATAGTCAACAAAGCTCTAGTAGCTTAACATTCGAATGTCCAGTAAATGAAAATAAAAGGAAAGAACTTGAATCTAATAGTTATTCTAGAAATAAAATAATAAAATGTTGTGAAGAAAGTTTAGATAATATTGATGCTGCTTTATTAAATGCTGAAAAATGTTTAGAAAGTATAAAATCTGCCCCTAAAACTTCAAAACACACAATAATTTCTAACAATGATAGCAAATTAACAAAAACTACAGGTGATAATTTTATTGGTAGTCAACAAATATTTAAGTCTTCTATCAATGAGAATTCTATTGAAGACATTACTTGTGGTAATGTTAACTGTAGTTCTCAGTCTAACAATGAAATAGAAATCTCAGATGATACTAATCATTCAGACGCATCTTCTATTGAAATGGTTTCTTGTTTGATTGAATCTGTAAATGATAAAAATTGTACTGAAAATTCTAATATACCAATTGTTGAAAAGAGTTCTGTATCACCTGTAGATGAAGATTCTAATAGTAATTCAACCAACCAAGCCTCTAATAGTTTATTAAATGAATCTATATCTTCAATAAATTTCATTTCAGATGAAAATTATGAAACAATACTGAGTTGCTTTTCCTCTGATAATAGGGTAAAACAGTTTATGCTAGATGGAGGAATGGTTGAACCTGATAGTATTGCAAATGCCTATGATCCAAGTGAAATTATTAAAATAATTGATGACAGGGTAATAAATAATGTTCGTTTGTATTTAGTAAAGTGGAAAAAATGGTCAAAAGGTTTTAGTACTTGGGAACGAATTGGTGCTTTATACAAATCACAAAAACAAGTTTTTGAATATATTTATGAAAAAAAAAAACGTCATAATGAATTTAAACATGTAAGTGTTATTCATCCTATGTTATCTAGAAAAGTTATCTCTCAACTTTTTGATTTATTTAGAACTGACAATGGTTTATCTTTGCCTTTATTTAACTCTGATGAAATATCTGGTATGTTTAATTGCCTTGATATTGGATCTAAATCTGTACAAAAATTACGAAAAAAAGCTTTAAAAATGTGTTTAGCTACTATTGCTTTAAGTGGTTTTAGACAACAACAGTTACTAGAATTAAAATATTGGGAAATAGATATCAATACTGTTTCTTTTGGACATAAAGTGAAAATAGAAAATAACATTGATCTTGAAGGACCTCCAAAATATTTTACTTACACTACTAAATGTGTTACTAATGAAGATGTCGTAGTTCCAGAAGATCCTCCTATAGGCTGTAATTGCAGTAAAAATTGTTACAATTCCAGTGATTGTTGTAATGAAATATCTGGGTACTCATCTGTGTATGACACCTTAAAAAATATAACAATATCTCCTGGATGTCCGGTTTTTGAATGTAATAAAAAATGTAATTGTTCCCATGAATGTAACAATAGAGTAGTTCAACTTGGAAGCAAAGTAGATATTTGTGTGTTTAAAACAAAAAAATGTGGTTGGGCAATAAAAGCAGCTCAAAATATAAAAAAAGGGCAATTTGTTGCAGAATATATCGGAGAAATAATATCAGTAGAAGAATCTGAAACAAGATTAGAGAATGAAACTTCATCATCTAACTATATGTGGAATTTAGACTTTGATGATCCTCAAAATTATAAATATATTATTGATGGTTCAAACTATGCCAATTTCACACGATTCATTAATCACTCCTGTGATCCAAATTTAGGCGTGTATGCAGTGTGGGTTGATTGTTTGGATAGAAATCTTCCGAGGCTAGCTCTATTTGCAAATCGAAATATTAACAATGGAGAACAACTTACAACCGATTACTTTGCAAGATGTGATCAAGAAACATTAAAAAGTACTGGTTTTACTTGTAAATGTGAAACTAAAAACTGTAAAAATTATTATTTTTAATGTAATACATTTTGTAAATACTTATAGAGAAATTTTTTAGTTCTATTAGTCTGTTAATTATATATTCAATGTATTTTTATGAATATTTTGTATAAAATTAATTTTGAAATAGTTTACTTGTTATTTTTTGTGCAATATTTCATTTATATTGACAATAAATTAATTGAGAGGATTTTTTAAAATAAATTCTAATTAATTTTAAGAATTTTGGGCATACTAAATGGTATATTTGTTTTTAATTCTAATTTCATAAGTTGTTTTTGTAAAAGGAGGTGTTTTCAATATAATGAATATAACATAAATATAGGTAATATTTATGTGCATTTATAATTTTTAAGTCATCTTAGACACAAATGTTAAATACCTAATCTTAATTGTTCAACTTGAAAATGAGTGCACACTGTGATTTACTATTAAATTTTTTCTTGTTATATGAATATATTTGGATGCACTATTTTTCTGATTTTTTGATACAAAAATAACAAACTTAAATATGTGGTGAAAAATTGTCAATGCATAATGATAGTTTATTTTATAAAAGATCATTTTATTTGGGCATTTTTAAGAGTAACTTTCAAGAGTTGATGAGGAATAAACAATCATTTTGGCACTATATGATGACATGAATAATTCTTTAACTGATCAATAATTAATTTTGAAAGCCTTATTTTTAAGTTAATATAATTTTAAGGTGTAGGCAAAAGTTCTGTTCTACATAATAGTATTCTTCCATGTGAAAAATTTTGTAAGATTTGAATATTTTCAATATTATGAATTTAGATTATTTCACTTTTTTTTATAGAAGTGTGTGTTTTTTTGTACAGTAACAGTGTCAATATATTATTTATCATTTAAGCTAATTGTTAAAAAAAAAATATTCATTAAAATTTACATAAATATTAAATTCTTGTATTTTTTCTCAAATTTTTATATTTATGTTGTGTTAAGATGTAAAAACGATAAAATTATTCCATCAATATTTTAAAAATGCTTGTGATGAACGTTAGATTTTATTTGATTTCTTTTATATTAAAATATTTTTAGTATTACTCATTATGTAACTACATAATATGTACATTTCTAGATGTGATATTAATATTTTTATATAATTCATATTTAAAAGCTAAAAAAAAAAAGTGAATAATAATTTAATTTTTCATATAAAAATATTTTAATGACATTATCTTGGCAATATCAATTTTCACACGAGTATCTTTAAAATTTGATTAAGTGTTAAAATGTGTTCATAATTTTCAAATAAAATACATATCAAAATTTACTAGGAGATTAAATATTTCTCTAAACTTTATATGGATAATTTGTATTTTATAGGATATGCAAATGCTAAAATTTATAAATGTAATTATGAGAAGTGTCCACGACCTGCATGTTTTGTTTCTGGTGGCTCAGGTCGCGACGACTCATTACCTTGTTCTAGACCAGGATGTCCAGGGAGATTTGAGTTAGTGAGACATGTTTCTTTTGTTGATTGTCCTGGTCACGACATTCTTATGGCAACAATGTTGAACGGAGCTGCAGTAATGGATGCTGCACTTTTACTTATTGGTACTAATTTATTTTTTTATACTGATTGTGTTTTATTTAATTATATTTATTAATTTGTAAATTTTAGCTGGAAATGAATCTTGTCCACAACCACAAACATCAGAACATTTAGCTGCTATAGAAATTATGAAGCTAAATAATGTAATTATTTTGCAAAACAAAATTGATTTAGTGAAAGAGGGTCAAGCTAAAGAGCAACAAGAACAGATTCAAAAGTTTGTTCAAGGAACAGTTGCTGAAGGTGCTCCTATAATACCTATTTCAGCACAACTGAAGTATAATATGGAAGTTTTATGTGAATATATTTACAAAAAAATTCCAATACCAGAAAGAGATTTCACATCACCTCCACGTTTAATTGTTGTTCGATCTTTTGATGTTAATAAACCTGGTTGTGAAGTAGATGATCTTAAAGGTGGAGTAGCTGGTGGTAGTATACTTCGAGGTGTATTGAAAGTTGGAATGGAAATAGAAGTACGTCCTGGCCTAGTATCTAAAGATAGCGAAGGAAAATTAACTTGTCAACCAATTTTTTCACGTATTGTTTCATTATATACTGAACAAAATGAATTGAACTTTGCTGTGCCAGGAGGATTAATTGGTGTAGGAACTAAAATAGAACCTACTTTATGTAGAGCTGATCGTCTTGTTGGACAAGTTCTTGGAGCTGTTGGTGCTTTACCAGATATATTTATTGAGTTGGAGATTTCATACTATTTGCTTAAACGATTATTGGGTGTACGTACAGAAGGAGATAAAAAGGCTGCTAAAGTAGGGTATATTTTATAATTGAATTTTACTGAGAATTCTATAAAATATTTAATCAATTTAACAAAAATATATTAAGAATTAATTAATTATCAAAACTAGCATAATGTTTAGTAACATTGTAAGCCATTTCTAATCTAATAAAATTGATATAATTATAAAATCTTTTTGGATTCCTAGCTTTTAAGATAAGTCAATTCGCTAAGTTATCTTACCCATGAAGCTAGCCTTAACTATAATTAAGTTTGAATTTTCAATTTTTATAATAAAGAAATGTTCTTAGTCTTAGAATAACCCAAGTGAATGATTACTCAAAATAAATTGTTTCTATAAACCCAATTTAAATATGGTTTATTTTAGTGAATTTAGATTATTATTTTATATTTGCAAAATACCTTTCTTATTTTTATTTAATTTTTTCATGTTTGTTTATATATATTTAAGGTTCAACGATTATCTAAAAATGAAGTACTATTATTAAATATTGGTTCTTTGTCTACCGGAGGACGAGTACTGGCTACTAAAGCTGATTTAGCTAAAATCAGTTTAACAACACCAGTTTGTACTGAAATTGGTGAAAAAATTTCATTAAGTCGTCGTGTTGAAAAACATTGGAGGTTTGTTGATTATTTTTAAAAACAACTTTTCAATAAAATAATATTTTAAGTAAACTACATTTTTTGAAGTGCTATCTTTTAAGGCATTTTCTTTTTTTTAATTTATGAATATTTTTTTTATATGAAGTTGGTTTATACTTGAATACAAATTCAGATACCAATGACATAATTTATATGCTAATTATTATTACTATTTTTTAGACTTATTGGATGGGGTTTAATTCGTGGTGGAGAAACGATACAGCCGTCAAAACCTCAAACAAGTTGAACATAAGAACAGTTTTTTTTTCAATTTTTATGTATTTAAATTTTATTACATCAAATAAATGAGACAAAATATAACATCAATTGAAATATGCTATACAATTTTTGAATTTTGCAATTAAAAAAAAATTAATTATTTTCTAATTTTTATTATTCCAATTTCTTCTATAATAAAACATTATTAATGAACTATAAATAACAAAGAATTTAAATAGCACTTTGGATTATTTCAGTGTACTTCTTGATTTTGGTTGCAACACTCATATCTACATATTTATCACCAATACTGACAACCATACCTCCAATTATATTTGGGTCTACTTTTAAATTTAACTTGATTGTTTCTCCCTTTTTGGCAAAAGCCTGTAATGTTTTCTTCAATTCTTGTTGGTCAGCTGCATCTAGAGGCTTTAAAATACATAAATATTAAGTAAGGTAAAACAAATGAATTAAAATCACTGTTACTTTTGCAGTAGTCACAATGCATTGAAGGTCTCCTCGGTGAGCTGACATAATGATTTGATAATTATTTATTATAGAATTAAGTTTTTGTAATCGCCCATTTTCAGCCAATAATCCTAAAATAAGGTACAGTAGTAACAAAATTTCACGTGGAAATTTTTTAAAGTAAATAATTTTCAACACTAAAATAAAAGATAAATACAAGAATAGGAGGATTCTTAATAATATTATTTAAAGATTATCAGAATTTTTTATTGTGACAACAATAAATGTCTTTATAACATTGTCTTATATTTGTGATGAACAAATTCACACCTTTATCACTTGCAATAACTAGCTTAGGAACTGGCCATTCTCTGTTATGAAAAATTCATATGGAGGAGACATTACATTAACAAACAGACATAAGCAATAAGTTTTTAAAAATAATTAATGGTAAATATGCCATATAGTTGTTTAGAAATTAAAACTCCAAAATTCTATTTAAAACATCTTTTATTTCAGTCATTTTTTATCCTAATCTATAACATCATTATAATATAAAAGGTATTTGATTAAATAATTTTTATTATTGTAACATTAATTTTAAAGACTAAAACATACACCTATATAATCTTACTACTAATCCTAAATTTGTATCTTTTTAATTCAAAGATGCCTATCTAACTCAGCTGAGAAAGCATTGCATCTTGGAAGGTAGGTACTGAGGTTTGATTCCGTAGTACTGGACTATGTTAGTTTTTCCATATTTTTTTAGCACAAACAATAATTTTTAAGAAAAGATGTTAAACATAAACGTATAAACAAAAAAAAATAATAATAAATACTCAAATTTTCTTTTATTTTTTTACTGTCATAATAATATAGCTTAAATTGAATAAATAGGTAATTCAATTTATTATCTTTTTTAAAGTTTTATATTGTATACTGCACTCGTACTAAAGAGTATTTAATATAAAAAAGATTGTTTATTTGAAATTAAATGGACTTAATATTTGATTAATTAAAATTAAAACTAATGGAAGTAATAAAAAAAAATTAATTTTTAGGAAAGAACAAATGTTAAAAGAAAAACAAAACAATAAAGTAACATATAATGTATAAAGGTCAAAATGATTAAAAACATAAAATTTATTTTAGTAAATTCTTATTTATAAAAATAGTTACTTTAAAATAATGAGTATAATAGTAATAAGTGATATTTTATAGAATAGCTCAAAAAAAAATTTTTTGGCATACAGCAATTTATAGAATACTACTTAAAAGAATGTCTGTGCTTATTATTAAATAAGTAAAAATCATACCCAAGAAATTTGAAGCTGGTGGTGACAGTGACAATTTTTTAGCAACCAATTTTAAAGTATTAGCCTTTAAGTTTCTTTTGTTGATAGGGTTTTCAATAAACTCCTTAAGAATTCCATCATTTTTTAATGCACCCTTTAAAAAATAATTTTTTAATAAATATAATTTCTAAAGTATTCTTAGAATTCAAATATTATAAGTAGTAAAAAACAAAAACACTGACTTGAAATTTAAGCAAGTCTTTTTCGATAGCTTCCAATTGATTTTGTTTACTACCAGCTGAAAACAATGCTGTAGCATATCGGCCTTCGATGCCAAATACTTGAACTGGAGGCTATATAAGTAATTATATTTGTGTAGGAATAAATAAATAACTATAAAACAAAAATATGTAATAAAAAAATGATAGAATTTTACCTTGACCAACCCCTGCGAAGTAGCCGTGCTTAACGAACGTACCTATAAAATGAAATAACATTAAAATTTAATTTATCATTTAGTTTATTTTATATTTACAATAGTATGCAATTTTGCGGATGCCATTATTGGTTTTAGGTTATTTAATACTAAGTCTACAATAGATTTTTAGCTTACTCACAATGAGTTTAACGTGAGAAACTTTTTTCGCAAAGGTCATAAACGTTATCACTAAATGAGAATCATATGTATCAATTAAGTTTTAAGTTGCGTTAGATTAAGGAAACAGGGCAGCCACATAAAGCAATAAATTAAATATTAATATACGAAGCTTTAATTTGATAAGATAGAAGGGTTTTGTAACCGTACACTCGCAGTGTTTAACAAGCATTACTTCTCTAAAAAGTGAATTACATGGATTTATGGAACACGAAGGGGTGCCCATTAAGATTACAAGGCGGTGAAGTGTCACCCCCTCTTAAAAAGTCATTTAAGTCATTAAACACCTAAAGACGTGTAAAAACATGAACATTAAGTAAGACAGAAATTAGTTTGGATGGATTATGTATGCTTAGTGTACATAGAAAAAAAGTACATCACGGTATTAAATTTGTTAAAAAAAAGTTATAGACAAATTTGGTTTGTAAAAACCAAATTTACAGTTTTTGTTTTAAAAAATTACTTTGGAAACACTTTATCTATCAATTAATTATTATATTTGTTTTATTATTAAATTTAATTAAAACAATTTTGTTGGTTCTAAGTTTCCAAGTTTTTTTTTTCACTTTTTTCACCTCCCTAGGTTCTGACAGATGGATGCCCTTGGGAACGTGTAAAATATCTAGGGAAAGTAGTCACGCCTGTATTTTATATCTATTGTACATAATGAAAAAATATTATATAGTAAGTATTTAGTTTTAAAATTTAATTTTATAGTTAGTATTAAAGGAATATTATATGTTAAAAACATTCTACATTTAGAATACCATTCACTGAGATTATTGTAACGAAGAAAATACTTAAAATAGTTTCATTGAAGTAATTCATTAAAATTTATAGAAGAATCCAAATCTATTGGCCCTACCCTCGGAAAATAATTTCTGGTCATATGCCTGTCTGTTTAAATAATTTCACTCTTTATAATTTTGTGCTAAAACCTATTAATAAATAGTATTTCCCTAGGTTTATCAAATTCTAATTAAATATTTTTTTAAAGTGGCTCTTTCTTTAAAGCTTAAAGTGTAAAAAACTATTTCAATTACTGGACTGTCTTATTTAAAATTTAAAATGAATTATTTTATATAAACTAAATTTTGCTTTGTGAAATTTACAAGTTTAACTAATATTGTGTGATTTTTCTATACATTATAGTTAAGCTGTTATTATTAAATATATTAACATAAGTAATTTTGGCTCCTGAAAACAATACATCCTTTTTTATAATATTAATTTATGTTATTTGAAACGGTTATTATTTTTATTTTGAATGGTTGCACTGCTCATTGTCGATGGTGGAGTGGTTATCTCCGCAGTAAGATACCGGTGGTGACAAGGGGATATGCACTGGCCGCATCACTAACAGCCGGCAATATCTCAGCGACCGTCGCACTCGCAGTACTTTCTCTACGTTAAGTGCACGTGTGTCCAGTATATTCTTAATTTTCAACTAGTCATTATAGTCGGAAATAACCAGAATTCAGGTATTAACGCATTTATAATCATAAACATAAACTTTATTATATTTAGATTTGTATTTCATATCTGTCTCTTAACATATGATAAAAAGTTTTTATCTGTAGGAAACTAAAGAAAATGCGAAAAGTTTCTAATTTAATTAATGTTTTTATTTAATATTACGATATTTTAATTGAATTCCTGAGATTGGTAGATTCTTAGCTTTTTTCAAAATAATTTTAGATAATAACAAATTTCATAACATATGGATAGTTATTTAAAATATAATTTTTTAAATAAAAATTATTCAATCAATTTATAATAATTAGAAACTGTCAAAAAAAGTTTGTTAAAAAAAAAAAATTAGATTTTGTTTTAAAAATCTAAATTGTATATTAAATGATTACATATCTTAGATTGTTTTATATTATTATTATTTATTTATATAAATTATTTATATTAATAGTAATTAAATATAAATATTTTTACTAGTTATTAAATAATATGATTGATGGATTATTATTTAATAATCAATTAAAAACTTTACTGAATATTTGATGTCTTAATAAATCAAAGTCATTTTACTCTTATTATTAATTATTTATAAAATATATTTTGTTAATTATTTTTCGCTGGAAATTGACTTATTAACAGTTAAGGATTAATGACCATCATTTAAGTTTCCGAACTTAATGTATAAGTTTTTGTTTGTGTTAGGTATGTTTTGTACATATTTCCCTAGTGTTCATATTACACTTTTGAACTTATTAGTAATTACATTTCAAGTTGTTTGGTATTAAATGACCGTTTATTTTTCCTGACACAGTTCAATTTACTATTATTAAAATTAAATGTAATACTGATTTAATTTTTTTATTAAGTAATTATTATGTAAAATTTAAGTTTATATTTTAAGCTATTATAATTGTTGTATAACTAAATGTGAAGCGTTAGGTTTTTCATGGTGAAAACTTCTATTTATTTTAACTATGTTGTTTCACAAATTAGGTCTTGACCATTGTCTTGTATTCTTTGCGGCCATATGGCTGTTATAATGTACGTCGTGTCCTGTCTTCAGCACGATCGCAAAAACATCTGCTTTGTTTTCTGTGCCTCACATATAGCCTTAAGCTTTGTACTTGTCTTAAATGTAATTATTTTGAACCGCTAAAATACATTTAGTTTTTTAATAGTTTTTCTTTACATCAGTTAATATTTTTTCTTGAGATTTTTAGAATTTTATTTAGCAATATTCCACTTTTCTGATTATGTATACGACGTATACATGTCTATGGCATGCGATCGCTACCAAGATAACGGTCAACTTCCTACATGGTATTTTAATTTTATTGCCAATTACGCCTTCTATTATTTGTAGAATCTGCTCTTTTTTTTGCGAATCAATGGCACCTAAAAGTATTGATAACAATTAATACTTGAATATTGAAAGTACAGCACTATGTTGGAACTTTTAAATAATTGCTTATGTCCCTGTGTAGGTACATTTGTAATTTATTAGTCGATGATTCATTTCACAATGATAGTGTAATAATGAAGATCCCGTTAACTCTGATGAAACAATAGAACAACTAATTTTTCGTATTAAAACATCCTTACACTATCATTTTATACAATTAGTTCAATTGTCTTATATGTATAAATCGTAAATTTTATATTTTTTATTTCCCCCGCTTACATTATTGTTTAGCAAGCGGACTCTATCAGTGTTTGTATCAATTAACCAGCCCAAGTTGTATAGATCGATAATAATATTTTATTTACTCGATGATTCATCGCTCAATATATGACGTAGTGGGTCATGGACTTACTCCGCAAGTTAATTGTACATAGAAAGTATTTTTGACTCGATTATAATGCTTAATAGATTCGTGTTATAGTTAACTATTTCATAACTATTGTCATTAATTACTTTTCATTTAAGGTGTAAACTTTTTATAAAAAATACCACTCTCACTCAATAACTCATTCTCTCTTTTATGCGGGTTTTACTTTTTAATAAACTCTTAGATTTTTCAATCATGTCCAAACACTAAAAATATGATTTTCAATTAATACTATATTATTTTAGCATACGACTTTTATTTAACAACGCCTTGCTATCAATGTTTACATATTATAATAATCAAATAATTTTTCTAGAATTCTTCTAATAATGAACATAGTTTTCCTTTAAATTTAGCTCTACAGTATCCACTGGAAAATTTAACTTTATAAACTGTTGTCTATATTTCTTAACTTAATACGTCTTTTTATCCTGTGAGTTGGATTGACTTCGAAGATCTTTGACTAAGTAGTACCAACGCATGTTAAATGACCAAGGAATAATTATAGTATGTACTACACCTAGTTTATAATTTTGAAATGCGCATTCGGGTACACTGTGATACAATGTCCTTGTGTTGTGTTTACTTCATGTCTGTCTGTTTCATACAGCATTCCGTTATGTTGTATTATGATTATGAATACATATTTTTGATATACAGAAATCGAGGAGATTACTATTTATATCATAAAAACATGTTGTATTTATAATCAATTAACTTGATAGTAAAATAGGAACTATTTCCCTACATTAACATCTTTGATATTTACTTAATTTATCAAGTGTATGGCGTTATATAACTAATTCAAACGAATAAACTATTTTACTAGATAAATAATAAGATGTAATGAGATATTAATGATATATATATATATCGGTTATTATAATCCTAAATCATATTTCAGATTATACGTGATATGAAATCCTTTCTCTTATGGATAATATGATAATAGAATCATTTGGCTCTCGTGGAGTGTTAATTTTTAAACTTGTTGCCCATATTTCCGTGATTCAATAAAATTATAAGGATGACATTTAATACATCGTTGTATTTTAATCCTTGAGGTGTAGAATCTCATTTAATTTATAATATTATGAGGTCAACTTTACACCGTATTGCTAGATACTAGCCAGACGATGACATCACCCGGCGAGTCCGGGTAAGTGACGTCATCCGACATACCAATAATGTTTTATTTTCTGTTGTATAGTGTCCTAATACCTCCACCATGCAGTGCCATTCTGAGAATTTTGTTTTGTTCAGAACCATGTTAAACGATAATGAAAATATAATGAATATATTTTATTTTTTTTTATTAACGTAAACGTGCATTATCACTATTTACTAAGTAGTAGGAATAATGATATATTAAACAGTGTTATACACCTAAATAACATGTCCGTTTATACATTAAAATTTTATGAGGTTTCTTGTAAAGTGCATTATAATTACGTATTCCTACGATTTAATTCCGTGTTAATTAAATAGTTGAAATAATTTTGTTGTAATAATCAGATATTCGTGATAATTAATACCTTCTCGTTTCAAAGAGTTCAGTTAAAAAAAATGAAAGAATAAAACTATAAATTAATAATATTTTTTTGTAATTGATCAAAGATTCTAAAATATTCAAAGATATTCAAAGATATTATATAAGAATAAACCTAATATATTGGATACACTTTTTTTATTTAAAAAATATTTACATTCTAATAACTTTCGTTAAAATTTGACTAGTAATATGATGTATGTTATGAAAAAAACCTTTCCATTTTTTTATAAAGTTTATCTCTTTACTTTTTAACTTCATAGAGTATAGCCTCTGTTAATGTTGATTATTATAATATTTTGAAGGCATCATAATTTCATATATTGTAATAGTTGACATAATACTTAGTGTTACATATAGTGTTAACTGCTGTTTAAATGCAAATACAATGAGATTTTTTTAAACACAAACGACTTTAATTATTTTTTACTTAATAATTAATAATACTTTAAATTTTTTACTTAATGGAGTCATAAAAGAAATAAATTAAAATTATTAGGTTTTTTTTAAATATTTTTATTAATAGAAATTGAACCAATAAATTCAAAAAATATTTTTTGTTTAATGGCATTTCAATTTTTTCTTAGAAGAAATTAATTTGTTGGGCTATATATGCGAGTGAGTCATTTTACATTGTTACTGAAAACGCGTAAATGACTATTAATAATTGAAACCATACATATTTTATGTATTTAAATAATTTTAATGTTCATTACATGACTAGTATCGCATAATAAAATCTTATATAAATAAAATTTAGTTGCACTAAGTATTTTGATATTTTTGAATAATTTCAACCAGGATTTTTAAGTTTTAATATAATATGTAAAAGAATTATATAAAAGCCCTAATGTTAATCTTTCAATGCTTAAATGTTCAGCAATTTTAATGAGTTAATTGCGATTTAAAATTCCAATTTTATTTCTTTGTTAGTTTCAGGAAGTAACTGCTCCCACTTTTATTTCTAAACGTCCATTATACAGCATTCAGCCGATACGCCCCTAGAATTTATTATCTACTATTTATGACAAAAACTTTATTATCTTTATTGACAATATTATGAATAAAATATTAAATGTATTATATTTTACAAAAATATTTTTTATTCAAATATTTAAATTATTCCAAATTTAGCTGCATTTTAAATATTGAATATGGTTTACTGATAAAAAAATAGTTTAACAATTTTAAGATTAGATTTTATTAAGTATACAGTACTTAAAAACAATTTTTGTATAATTAAGAACAGTGATTATAAAAATATGCATTGTTATGACTAATAAACTTCATTATTTCATATCTTGTTCAATTAATTAATTGGAGAGTTTTGACCATTAATTATTGCTTAATTAGTGTTTATTCGGGAAAGTATTTTCTTGAACTGTAAATTACAAAGCATTGTACTTAACTTTGTCAAATAAGAAATAACTCTATGAGACTCTTATGTGTATACAATATCTAAATTTAAATTGTTTGTAAGTTGAATTTGTATAGCGAAACGACCTATCACCATTTATTGACGTTTACAAGAAAAAACGCTTACTATAACCAAATATTTATGTTAATAAATTGTGTTAAGCTCATCATTGGTAGTACGTTATTGTGGGCACCCCAATTTATGATCCAATAACATAAATACTGCTTGCTCTCGAACAAATGGTAGTATAACCTACTTAAAACACAAAGAAAAATAACGTATGTGGACACTGTAAAAAAAAATTTATCATAATAATTTACACATAAACCTACTCATAAACCAGCTGTTTTATTTTGTTTCTAGTTAACCATTCAGTTATTTTAACATGGTTAAATTTTCACTACAAATAATTTTTTTTTTTTTTTAATAAAATTGTGGGTTAATTTTCTTATGATATAGGTATGATGATGTAATTTAAATTAAGTTAATTCATATAAAGTGTCCAAATGGCAGTTACAAATCAAAAAATTCTTAATAATTATAAAGAGTTTAAAATCATATTTCTATACCTTCTTAATATCGATTTAATGTTGCTTAAATAAAATTTAGCTATTTACTAAATGTAGTTTTTAATTACTATTAAGTGAGTTGTAATAAATTCAATTGTTGATTATAACATTATACTGTTATGGCAGAAACCTTTGAATTGCCTATAAAAATCGCGGATATATTTTATGGTATTGAAGAATGGGGTTAATAATTGACAAGTTTAATAAGAAGTTTTGAAGAGCGGCCAAGGATTATTACCTTCTTAGGTTGCGTTTACACATTCTGGTATATGATGTAGTTTGTATATATTGTTTTCGATGAATATAAAACCTCACGTATTCGTTCTTTTACGGTGTTAGGTCTGATTCACTACTACCCAGAAATATTATATTGTATTATGCATTAGCAGCTAGCTTGAGTCTCGCGTGTTTAATGCAAATTAACAATGAATCATATCAGTCTAGTTACTGTTAAAAAAAAAAGCTTCAAATTACCTATCAACACTCGTGTATGTACTCCGCAGCTGGAAACTTGTGCCGATTACATTCATTTTTTTTTATCTATATTATAACATTATTCTCCTGCATTCTAAACTCGACAATAGTTTATTAACGGGCGGTATAAACAATAGTTTATTTAGTAAAGCTATTTCCTACATGCCTATCCTTTCTATTAACGTTGTCTTAACATTAAATTACTTGAGTTCAAAATTATTTTCATTAGGATCATCATTGTGTTAATTGAGTTTTGGAAAAAAAATTGTAAAAATAATAGACGAGCATACGTTTAACCGTTAGCTTGAGAAGTCCATCATTCCTTTTACGAAACCTAGGGAAAGTGCAACGACTGTAAATGTATTAGTAGTTAACATGTACTGTAGTTCTGTTTGATCGAAAAAACTAGTTTGCGGCTGCACAAGTGTCTCATCTACATAATTGTTGTCTCCAAAAAGAATATGTAACATAAAAAATAAATAAAATATTAATATAAAATTATATAGAAAGAATGAAGGTATTGAAAAAAAAAAAGAAAAGATGTTAGAGACCATAGAACTAACCGCGACTGTGTCTGGTCTCGAGACCTATTTACCGTACAAGGAAGTCATTTTAGTGCGCAGAATATCGTTTCAATGACGAACTGTTTTATCTTTTTAGTATGGTCGAGTTGTATGTGTGGATAATATATATTATTTATCATGCTAATGCAAGTTAAATTCACTCCTTGTAAAATAAATTGACAATTGTCCCGAAATTACAATCTTTTCTATACTAGTTTTAGTGATGAGTTGTTGACGGATGCATGATAAAATTGTTTAGTCATCCAACTTAAATTTATTACGAATTATCAATAAGCTTATTGAAGTGTACTGGTATCATAGGAATGGTTTTTTTTTCTGGTAATACATATGAACAAAATGAGTTGAATGGCCCAATTTGATGTCGGACGCTCCTATCCGTATCCAACGGACTGCAACAATTTATTCTATAATTGAGCTTCAAGTTGTGCCGTGTGACTGATTTTTAATTACCGCACTCCTATTACTTTAACGGTCTGCCAAGTTTACAATTAAGAATCATATATTGTGCATTGGTCGTGTATACGAATATGAAGTTTATTTCTCGATAGATATTTTTAGGTAGAATTCAAATTGTACAATGTCAAATTTTGTATATTCATTTGTTATTTGAAAGCTGTTGTATATAACCAATAAAATTACTTGACAAAGATATTTATTTTAATCTATGTTTTAACTAATTTTGTACTGTTTGTACTGAGAATTTTTAAAGTCAATTACAACCGTTTTTTTTATAGTAAATGAATTCTATAAATCATTTTTATTTCTTTAATCAACATTTCTTTTGAACTAACGGCCTGATATAAACTAAAAGAGTTTTTGTATTTTTTGTAAGACACACGTGATACATGAATGTTAACTTGCTCAGAAAAAATGATCAACATCCTCCACCCCACATATTGCAGCCGCCAGGGCGTGCTCTTGGTTAAATAAATCTATAGGGAATCTAGACGGTTCAGTGGTTGTCAAAAAGTTACCAGACCGGATGATATTAAACACATCCTTACCACGTATTATCATTTAATATCTATTTAATATTTTTATTTTTGAACAATATTTTATAAATCATTTTATTTAAAACAAGTGCTCATAAAAAATCCTATTATTTTGTATTTTTAATTTTTATCTTTATCGTCTCAAATATATATTACTATTAGTAATGTATAACATTAACTTTAAATTTTTAAGTATTTCATTTTTTTTATGAAAATCATTAATTTACGTTCTCCAATTTATGTGTTTTCGATTTAATTTATCTTTAAATTTATGTTATAACTTAATTGAAAAAAATTGTTTGATTCATTTTGTCATATGTACTTCCTAAGCAAATATTCATAAATGTAACTAAATATTTGTCTAAGATTCTTGTTTATGTTATAATTTAAAGTTATTTTTGACAGCTGCTGTTACGCATTAAAAATTAAAACATGATTTTGCACTTAAAACTTCTATTCTGAACAATAAAGTATTTATCTAGTTAAAAAGAGCATTAAAAATTTAAAAGAGTTAAAAATAACTGATTTACTACCCCCTGAGTGGTCGATAATGTTTCGGTGTCCCCTAAATTTTTGATGTATTATCGTTAGTAGACTAAACAATACACATAGAAAATATGCAATGTTAAAATAAAACATTTTTAACAAAAATGATAATGACTAATAAGTTCATTAATTTTAGTATGGCTCTAGGCTTCTCGAAATAATGTTCTACTGATATTCATAGTTAAAATAAAAATCAAAGTCATTTTGTCATCTGAGGAAAAGAAACATTTTTATTCTTATTTAAAAAAAAAAGCTAAGGGTGACTCATTGGAGTGATTCACCCTTTTATTGTACATATATAAATGCGATGGAAATCTTCAACATTTGATTATATGTCTTTTATTAATCTTATTGTAGACATGAGTTCTCCATCGTTAAAAGATTTGCCTAAAGTAGCCTTTGATTTAAAAAGTCAACTAGAAGGGTTCAACACAGAAAATATGAAAAAAGCTGACACAAACGAAAAAATTGTTCTTCCAACTGCCGAAGGTAAAACATTTATTGATATTAAATACGTCTTTCGTTTGCTTTATTTGATAGTATTAATTTTTTTTTTGAGAATTTTATTTGATAAATTGTCGTCTTGTATGGTTTTATAAATAATGAAGTAGTATCATTTTTTGCTTGTATTAATTATCATGGAATATAATTTATCTAGTTATCTCATGGCTTTAATTTCCAAATACAATAATATTAGATTAACATATTAATTTAAAATAAAAAAATTAATTCTTATCAAAAGTTGTAATCAACAAAGGAATTTATCTATACCTATCATGAAATACGTTAAGTTTTCATAATAATTTTCCGAATACTTTATTTTTGTTAATATACATTTTTTGTTATGACTGAGTGAACATCTATATTAAATATTAAGATCCCGAAAAAAATCTTTTGTAGTATAATTATACTTAAATATAATAACACCATTTTGATATTTAATTAAATTAATTTTGATATTAATATGATCGTAAATTCAATCTTCGTATATTATCTTAATCTTAGTGTATTTATTTATTATTGACCTTTGTTTAGTTACTTATTTGTTTTACATCCATCAAAGTGACTTAGCCATGATATAGCTATATATTTGTTCGATCTTTTTTTTTTACTCTTTTTCGTTTTTTACTTCGAGAATAATAATAATAATAATAATTATTATTATTCAGGAGTTATCAATATTACTATTTTGGGTTAACGATATTTCAAATCCACATACCGGTATTCTAAAGTAACTTCAACACCGGTTTTATTCAATATACCTAAAATTTCGGTAATCGTGATAAATACCTCTTTTTTTTTTAGTAATCATTGTTAGTTATAAATTGATTTATATTTGTATGTTTATCAGTATCTACCGTTACTTTGATATAATTATATGATTATTATATTATTATTATTCTTAAAGAAAAAATGTGGGAGCTTAGGCCATTGATCAACATTGAACAATTAGTTTTATTATATTATATTAAACAAATTCCCGATATTCTTTTCTAATTAAAGTAATTAAATAAAAAGAGTACAATTAACCAATTAGAATATTAAAATGTGAAAAATATCGGTTATTATCATTCGGTAATGTCGAAAAAGCCGATACTTACGACTACCAATAATTATAAATATCGTCAACCCTCTTATCATTTTTTCTCTATGCATCATAAAAAATGATATATAAGCTCCAATTAACCTAAATATAGCTCTAAAAACCAAACTTCTTGTTTTATATTTAAGTAATATTGTAAATTAATTAAAATTTTGCTTTTCACCAATTAATAGACAAAGAAATTCTATGGGCATTATTCAAATCAAAACATTACATATGAAATTAACAGGGTTTATTCAAATTAAAAATAATGAATAATTACTACCAAAAAGTATTAAGGGTACCCTTTTATTCTTCGACTTTCTCTAAAAATCAAGAATTACTGAATAACACTTCATTTTTAAGTAAAATATAGAGAAATAGCATAATTCATATTGTTTTGCTAAGTTGGTTCATCAAACTTAAAATGATGATTAGTCATTTCAAATGCTTTTGTATTGTTATTTTGCACATATATAATTAATTTCAAAGCTTTTGCTGAAATTAGTTAATTATTAAAGTTGCTAAAACGCTTGCTATTGCTTTTGTTTGTTTGAATGTACAAAAAGACGTGAAACGTGAACGTCAGCATAACGATCTCATTCAAGATGTGAATAACTTTTGCCCAGATAAGCTTAAAAGAACTGACACCATGGAAAAAGTTGTCCTACCAAATGCGCAAGGTTAGTAATTAGTGGTGTAGTTATATTAGTGATTATTGTTTAGTTCTGTATATGCACTAACGCAGAAAGCGTGAAAAATCTTATAATACCGGAATTTTTTTTTTTTTTTTTTTTGTCGTTAAAATTATATGTTTATCGTTTTATATTATGTTTTTATTAGATGTAGCTCAAGAGAAAACTCAAAAGGCATTCACGGAAGCGCTCATCGAAGGCGTTTCTGGATTTGACGTCGGTAAGCTGAAGCATACCGAAACCCAAGAAAAAAATCCACTTCCTGATAAATCCGGTAAGATCATTTCCTGATAATATATAATTTGAAAATAAACTGCAATGTTTTGCGCTAAATATTAATCAATTTATTTTATTTGTAGCAATTGAAGTAGAAAAGGAGCAGCAACAATTCATTTCTGGTATTGAAAATTTTGATCCCAAAAAATTAAAGCACACCGTTACTGAAGAAAAGAACCCATTGCCAACTAAAGAAGGTGATTATTATGTTTAAAAAAAATGAAATTGATATGATCAAATAATCATTGTTTTTTTTAATTATGTTAATTTTTGTTTTCATTTCAGTTATCGCTGAAGAGAAAAATGCGTAACATTCCAATACTGATCTGCTTAAACTAAATCGATATATTCTTAAATGTATTCAGTTATTAGCTTTAAATTTTTTTATTTCACTTTATAATCTACTCTTTCTAGATAAAAAATAATCTAAGACCCAAAAACTGATACTGTTTTTTGATATATTAATGATTTATTGTTTAGAAGTATATAATATTTTTTTAACATAATGCTAATTTTTGTTTAATCATGCCTATTTATATATTTTTATTTTATTTTTTTTTTTTTTTTTACAATTGTCTATAACCTAAACAAATTCGTAGTCTATAACACCTATGCAAAAATATTTATTACAAAAATTATGTATTTCTTAAGAAAAAAATCAAATAAATGTATAGTTTTATAAAAAAAAAATTGATTCAAAATTTTTGATAAAAATATATTACTTGTAAGTATTACCTAACATTATCAGTTACTTCAATTTTATCTGAAAAAAATTCTAATTATTTTTAATTTTACACTTGTAGATAGTTTTTATTTTATAATTTGAAGGTACTTGAAAATTATNTTTTATCTGAAAAAAATTCTAATTATTTTTAATTTAACACTTGTAGATAATTTTTATTTTATAATTTGAAGGTACTTGAAAATTATTAATAATTTTGTTTTACACTTTTCTTAATACAATTCTAAATTAATGTAATTTTTTTTACTGATAAACTATAACAAAACTATTATCTAAAAAATCAGTCTTGGCATATTTTAATACAAGTAGTTGATCAGCAACATTTAATATAATATTTATACCAATAAAATGTTTTCATGTTTTATAGTAGTATGTATCATTATTTTTCAATTTCATTGGCTAATTTAAAATTATATATGATTAAACATTAAAACTAATAACTAGAAAAAGTAATGCAAACATTTTAAGAAATCATCAAAATTAATTGAAATACCATTTTCATTAGAAATGATTTTTTCTTAACTAACCTTAAATAAGATATATAAGTCCACCAAGATAACTTTTATTCTTAACACTGTTAAATGACCATATTTAATTAATATGTGCATAATATTTTCAGGTTATTAAAACGTTTTGCCATTTAAAAAAGTCATGGTTGTGATTATGTAATTTTGATCTGAAACATGTCATAGAGAATTCTTTTCATTCATATGATATTTAACTGTGTATGTTATTAATAAATACTATTTGAAATGTTAAAAATGTTTCAGTTAAATGTATAGTAAACTTTTAAATTATTTAGAAAGTTCAAAAAAAATTACATATTGTTATTGGCTTTTCAAGGTATAAAATACTTTTATAGAAAGTAATTTATTAACTAATTATATCTTTTACCTTATTATAAATAAGGTAAATTTGAATAATTTTTCAAAAGTAAAAAATACATTTTTCTATTTTAAAAATAATTAATAAAAATTAGTGTTTTTAAAAAGCAAAAATTACACCCTTTCAAAAAAAGGTTTAATTTTATGACTGGATAGAAATTTTTATTCTTTATAGTATAAAGCGTATTTAGTATAAGTTTTAAAAGGTTTGTTAAAAATAACTGCATGTTTTTAATTATTTCTATCTTTATTAAAATAAAAAAAAATCATAAAATATATATCACTGTATTCCTAATGACTTACAAATTATGTATGAAAATTAATATTGGACAAATGTCCTCCGCAACAAAAGTGAATTCACTCAATAAAATTTTAAAGGACAGTAGTGGGTGCAACTTTATTAAGTAACAAATTTTGAGTGCGCATCATCTCACAAAATAGCAATCAAAATTGGACAGTAAGTTTTTGTGTCTTGACTCCTTTACTCTTTTTTTATATGAAGGTATAAGTTAAAGGTAAAACATGAAAATCTGCGCGGAACTGATTGAAGAAATAGTCTAGGAAATCAACAAAGTTAGTTCAGAATTTGCTGAGCGTGCCCTTCAAAATTTCAATTTATGTTATATTCACTTGGGGAAGTTATATACCCATATAACTTTTTACACTTAAATTGAAAGTATTTATGAAGTCAGTGGTATATAATTAATTTTTTTTTTTTTTAATAAAGTTATAAAACATTCAAAATCTTCAGTTATTTTTGACCCACCCTTTACTATATTTTAATTTAAAAACAATCAATATTATCAATTAGATGCAACAATGTAAAATATTATAGCACCTTTACAAGAGTACCATACAATAGAAATAATAAGTTTGAGAATATTTTCATTAATTTTTCAAATCATTACATTAATGAAGACATTAAATCAAAAAAAATGTTTGGGCAATTCATATAAAATTGTATTTTTAAATCTTATTGCTAAAAATCTATGTTCTGGTATTAGTTTGACAAAAGGCGGGAAACAATTACCAACTTACTTCATAGTTGCATTGGATTATCATATACTAAATGTAAAGCTCAATTAAGTGCTAGTTTGATTCATTTGTCTTAGAACCATATAATACGTATAGAGTGCTTTAACAAACTGTAAATTTGTTTAAATTAATTAATCAACTATTACAATACTTCAAATATTTTTAAACTTACAGCAATGAAAGATTTTAAGCATAATTTATACATGTAAAATCCCATTATATTGGTTTGCATATTTGTTCTTGCTATCATAAACATTAATAATTGTCGAACGTTTTTATTAGCGCGCCACCAAGGTACATTGTACAGAGCAACACTTATACTTGATTGCTTCAATTTTTTAATAATAAAATAGAATAAACTGCTAATATTTAGCTGATTAATTTGAAATATAAATTACCTTTTGTAATATATATTCACCGAAAAAATTGTTCAAAAATTGATGATATAAACTAATGACAACAAAAAGTACTAATGCAATTGATTCACCAGTTCCAAAGCTCATCTAAAAGGTAAATTTGTATTTTCATTACTAGTTAAATTTTTCAATTCAAAGACGCTTTGAATTACATACTTGCATTTGAAATATAGCAAACGTTAATGAAGTTATCGCATGCATATAATCAACTAGTATAAGATAATTATACATATTTCGTAATTTTCGTATGTACCTATAAATAAAGAATAATTTTTGTTAGTTTTTAAATTTCCTTATCTTCTGTTTAAAAAATATGTTATAGCCAAGTTTCATGTCTTAGCTAAAAAGAAACCGATGAATTATAATCATTATTAAAATAATTTTAATGAATTTCATTTTAATGCTCGTTTTTATTTTCTAATTATTAAAATAAATCAGGTAAAAAATAAAACTCCCAATAGGGAGTATATAATTGTAATATTATGATAATTGTTAAATTTATTTGAAAATAAAAATATAACATTTAAAAAAATTATTATTTTTAAATAACGTTATACTTTAGTATCAAAGCATGGTGTTTAGCACATTGAACAACTAAATAACTTAGCTTCTCTTGTTGGTAATCTCGGTAATTCAAACATGAAATTCCATCATTGTGATCTATTAAAATTATACAAGAATTTATTTATTTTATTAAAATTAATATTTAAAAACATGATCTATGCTACGTTCTCTGTATCAAAAGAGAGTATATTTAATCTAATGGCTGTGAATTGCAACAAGTATTGCATTAGATTTCTTATTTCCATATCATGTCACTATAGAAAATGCTTTTACCAAGTTTATTACATAGGTAATATATACATATAATATATTACATGGTAATTTAAATTCTATATTTATTAGGAACTTAATAATTAGGACAAAATGTAAATTTATTTTTCTGTAGAAATAAATTAATAGTTCTCCCTAAGTTAAGTCACTAAAATTACTTTTTTTTTATAATATGTAAATGTAATACCGTTAATCACAGTTATAAAAATTGTCAAATTAAATATAATAAAATAAAACACAATACACATATTATTATTTTAAAGGTCACAGTAGAAAATAGAAATGAAAATAATAATAATAGCGATTACACTATTATAGCAACCGATGACGACGAGCGTACACGTGGTTAATTTTAAAGGTAAATTACCAATATAGTAATTACTGATATTTTACTGTATGGACGACGCTGCCGGTCGTCCATAACCATTGTATAAGATCGCAGCTGAACAGTACCCGCACGCAAACGATTGGACACCTCGTTTATAATATGCGTTACAGATTATTGCTCAGACTACACTGTCGGTGTTGCTCGTGTGTGCACGCCATAGATCTTTTAAACATGGATAGGACGTTCGTATTTGAGGCCCTTGTGTTTTCGCGGTCATGAACTGATAAGAAATTGAGGCCGTTTGTTTACATTTCAATTATGATAAGAGCATAATATACTGTTTTAGCTTCGATGCGAAGCTGGAAAGTGTTAATTTTACTATGTGTTTTTTTTTGTGTCTGTTACCACTCTTTCTCAGCTCTCACCGAACTGATTTCTTTCAACGATACTTCAAAAGATCACAAATCGTATCTAGTCGAAGACATTACCCTCAATAAATGAAAACATTTTCCTTGTTCCCCATAAATGGGGGAAATCTCCAAAAAAATTACAAATTTAAAAATCGCCAATTTTCGACACTTTTTCAATTTTTTTTACCGCCATAACTTTTTTATAAATGACCAAATCAATATAATTTTTTTTTATATAGATACGAGAGGTACTTACCTATTATTTTGTATATTTTTTTTATAAATCTGATCCTTTATCTGTCTACAGGGGGGGATTCAAAATGACAACTTTTTCACAAAAAATTTACTTTTTTAACTTAACTTTTGAAAGTGTACCGGAAATACTGACACTTTTATATATATTTTAAATTAAAGCTAATGTAATATACTTTTTTATACAAAAAGAAATTTGTACTTTATTTTATCTTCAAGATGAAAATGACTACCAAATTCTATTTTTGTGTGAAAATTCTCGATTTTATTTTTTACATTTTTAACTTTATAATGCTATAACTTATTGAAAAGTGTATGGATCAATACAATGTTTTTATGAGAAATAATATTTATATCCCTTTTTCATTCGACATACTTTATCTTAATCAGAATATTAATAAGGAAATAGCAGATCATGTAGTTTGACAGAAATTAAGAATCTCACAAAACCAAGTCCTGATGTTGAGATAATCTGTAATGTAACTGAAAAAATATTTAAACAGTACATTAATCAAATCCATTCAATTTTTTTTTAATTAAAGTTAAAACTGAACTATATAGAAGTTTTAAAATATTTTCTAAAGTAACTTGTGGAGATGAAGCTTGGTTTGAAAATGACTACAAAACCAATATGATAAATTTAATAATGTTGAAGTATTTAGATGTTAGAATGTATCACGAAGTTAGAATAAGAAATGAAGAACGCATTAAAACAAGAGCAAAACTAAAAAAAACTATTAATTTTAATCACGATTAATTTATGTTCATTACTGTTTTACTATATATTTTATAAGTTTTGGAAAGAATAATTGTTTTAAGTTTTACATAATTATACATTACATAACTTATACTAAGTTAACAGTGCTCGAATTGGCCAAAAATAAGTAGGGGAGCTCAACTTAACAATTTGAAAACTGCGTCCCTAGTATTTTGAAGACCTTTTTTTTTTTACTCATTACTTTATTTAGTATTTATTAATAAATCATATTTCATTATCATACTAATATTTAAAAAAAGAGGTGGTATTTTCCACCGTCCTCCCGGCCTAATAAAAAAAAGTAGTTGGGGTGCGCAAAAAAATTTTAAAAAAAGTAGAGGAGCTAAGTCCCCCTGCCCCCCCCCCCCCAATTCGAGCACTGCTAATTAATAATTACTAACTATTAAAAAATAAAAAGTACATGTTATCATGTAATAATGTAAACAAATAGCCTCAATTTAGACCACAGTCTCACTGATAAAGCATCAATGTCCTATCCATGTTTATAAGATCTATGGTGCACGCGTACCCTCATATACCGAGGAAACCACTTTAATGTTCGCACACGACAAATGTCTTATAACTATTTTACTAATTAAAAATTTGCATTTTTAATTAAAATCTAGAATTAAGAATATACAATTGAATTTGTTCTTTTAATTAATTTTAGTAGGCGGTGCAACCGTCCAAGCCTCGAACCGCCACTGATTTTAGTACAAAAAATCTTTACAAGATTATCACGAACTTGTTTTGGCCTAATATCAAATAATATATATTTTATAACAAAGTGACCAAAATTCTAACAGTTTTTTTTTATTAAAAAAAATTTTTTTTCGATTATTTCTATATTTTAAAAATAATAATTATTTTATATATGTATATTTTCTAAACTATTTACTTATTGTAAAATTTTTTTTTTTTACAGATTGTAAATTGATATTGCGGGAAAAATGAAAAAAAGTCGGCGTTATCGAATCAAAATATCGTTATCGTTGACGAGCTTTATTAGTTATTATGAAATTATTTATACTCAGTAGATTTTCCAACAACTAAAGAGTGAAACAACCTAGTTAATATAATTTTAGACATTTTAAGAAGAAACAATATAATAAACACAAAATATATAAAACTCATTATGTACATAAGTACACAGAGAAATCATATTTTTTCCAAACTACCAAAAATGTATTTTTTTTATAAAATTAGACTTTTCTGTTTTTGCACTGAACCCTTAATTTAGCCATATCACTAAACTAAAGAATGAAAACTACTTAATTGTTATACATAATATTGATTAATTATAGCTCTCCATAATTTATCAAAAATAGTTACAGGTTATGATGAATCGTCCAATTATAATGCTGATCAAATAAAATGAATATTATGTACAACGTACCTAATTTCAAACGATCTGAAATATTGTTTAATGTTGTGTTGAGTAAATTAATTTGACCACCAATCGCATAGATTGATCCAAACATATATGTGTCAATTGCTAAGTACATGTTAGTTGCAGCAATAAGTACAACTGCATGTACAATAATTATTCCTGTAAATATCTGATAATTATTTACTGTGAATGGAATCCAGCAACTCAAAGGATAACTCTTGGGATCATTGAAATAAGCGCTGTCTGATCGACCACTGTAGAAGTATAATAAAATTGAACAAAACCTATTTATTGGTAATTCTTTAAATTTACTAAATAAAATTAATACTTTTTTGGATAAGTAATTAAAGTTGAAAAAATAATGATTATATCCATGAAAAATCCACAAAGCAAATAAATTATTGTTATCTTTTTCATAGGCCGTAAATGATTTCTTGTAAATTGTTGAGCTTCCGAACCATAAGATACCAATCCTTGAGTTTGTATTTGAACAAGTTGCGTATCAAAAACAATAAACTCATCACTAAATTTTACCATACAATACCATTTATACAATCCTGTCGAACACATAGTCAATAGGTCTATAGTCCTGGCTACCATTGTTATATCAGGTGCCTTTGTCAATTGTATTGTCATTGATATTGTGACTAAACAAACTAGACAAAAAATTAATAAACGGTAATAGTTAAATGCTTTAATGGCTAATTTGGATGAGCTGTGAGAAATATGTAACATTCCAAATAATTTAAGAGCATTCATTTGTAAATTCATGTACGCCATGATTGTTTCAGTTTAACTTCTTAACTTCAAATAAATAGAAACAACTAATTTTATGACCAAATGTCTAGAACTCATCATAGCCATAATTTATGTATTTGAGCTAATTTTCTTAATAACATATTATGAAATAATATGTTATTTGTTTGTGATATTTTGATTTAAATTTAAACTTTATTTAGAATAAAATAATATTAACTTACTTTATGGATTTTGTAACCCATAATTACGTTGATTATAGATAACCTTATATTTTATTTCATCAAATTGAAGTAAATAAGCATATTATTGTATAGTAATATCTAATTTATTTAAATCAACTTACTTTTTTAAAATAATATACGAATATTTTACATATTTTATTACTGGTTTTACTAAAAACATTATTTCTCAGTATTTCAAATAAATCGATGCGTTTCACTCATTTTCCATTAAAATGTTTATTCAAATTGGACACGGGTTCAGTACAGTATAGTTAAATATGGAGGATTATAGAGAATTGATGATTAAGTACAATTCAAGGAACTGTATAGATCCTTAATATATTGAAAATTACAATGTGAAAATTCCAAAGAAAATTATAAATTTATATGTAATTTTTCACTAATTGTGCAATTTGAATTCACAAAACTTTTTAGGACATATATCTTAGTGATTTTTTACATTAAAAGAATTATAGTCAATTATAAAAATAAAACCATTATTAGTTTCAATATGAATCTTAGAGATATTAATTTTATCATTTTTTTTTTTTGTGCATAGAAACAATATTTTATAGTTAAGGTAGTATCAACATAATTGTATTAGGAAGAATTATCTTGTAAAGTTGGCCGAACTGCAATATCAGTTCTAATTACCAAAGTAATTTGTTCATTAAATATTCATATTTAACCGGACCATAATTTCACAAAGCGTCTCGCTTCGCTCGCAATTTTTCGCCATAGTATAACTACAAAAATATTTTTATATAAAAAAAAATTGCTATGTGACAGTTATTTTTTATATAATTAAATAAAATATTGTTTTTTACGTTTGTATTAATTTGAAGGATGGAATTTTATAAAGAAAAAAAACTTTTAATAAAATAAAAAACATATATTTTGATATATAACATCAGAAATAAACTAAAATTAATAAAATAACTACTGCGGCTCTCCATAAAATAGGAAATATTGAAAAAATGTGAATTTAGCAATCTCAAAAACATTTTTATCAATCTTTTTTCTATTCAAAAGTAGAAATTTTGACTTTTTTTTTATTAATTTTGTACTGCTAAAATTGCATTTCAAAACTTTCGTGCGATCCCTAAATAAACTAAAAATTTAGACTGGAACAAATTTCTAAGTTGCCCCAGTAACGTCTCTGGTTAAAATCGATTTATCGACTTTAAAGCCGATTCTGACTAGGCGATTTTTTCATTGAATCGATATATTTTTAGATATATTTTAAAATTCAATTCAACCGATAATTTTATAATAAAAATTAAAAAAAATTGTACTTTTCCGATTTATCTCAGGTGCACAATTTTTACATTTTATTGAACGTTCGGTGTTGTAAAAAAAAAGAGCAACCTCTACTCGACCGCTATCCCGCCAAATCGACATTATCATGTTCGTTTCGTTTGGTATGTGATTCTCTTTATGATTATTAAATTATTTATTGAATTTCTTATTTATAATAAATTTGTATTGTTAATAAAGAAATGTACTTAAAAACTATCAAGTCGTTTTATTATAACTCATATATCAAAGGCTTTACCAAAGCTATTTAGTAATATATCACTATTGAACTATCTATTACTATGAAATGTATATTAATTCATTTTATTTTAGATTTTTAAATCATCTCATTTTTATTTCGATTTAAATCGATTCACTTTTCAAAATTGCCCATCACTATTTTTGAGCTACATCAATTTCCGATTAGGCGCCCGGCATCACCCCTATTATGTAGTTGATTTAATTATTACTATGTTATATATCAACATCATAGTCTATGTCCTAACTATTTGACGTCTATCTTTACGATTTGACGAAATGTTACATTGGCTGTCGATCTGACGCAACCTTATTATGACTGAGGGAACTAGTATCAACATTATTATATAGTAAATATGTTATTAAAATGCACAACATTCTTTCTTAGTATGTTTAACTTACAAATACAATAATTACGACGACAGACTGACCACTCAGCATAGATATTAGATTGGGAAATCTAGGAAGATAGGTATTCTGTGGAATTACCATAGATCTAGCTTGATAATCTGTATTACCTTATATTAGAGATATGTTAAAACCCATACAGTTAATTTAATAATTTTTAAAAAGTTGATTTATTTTGTTACAACTTTTTGATAAAAAATATTTTAATTCGTAATGAAATAATTTTATAGATGATTACATTTTAAAATAAATTTGTTGAAAAATGCGTTTTTTTAGCTAGTATTCAATACTTATTTGAAATCATAGTTCTAAAATTAAATTAAATTTAAACTTACATCATATAAATCAACAGAAGAGAATCTTATTTTAAATGGATATATAGCCATGATGTAAGCAATTCATGTTATTCTCATTAGCATAAAGCAATTTTCCGAAACGTCGCTAACGCAACCAGTAGAAACTATCAGTGTAATTTTTTCAATTATCTCATTTTGCCGGGTGTTAACACTTGATAATTCCATCTTGAGTTTATTAAACTGTTACCAAATCACATTATTTGTTGGTCACACTGTTTGATGGCCTTAATTCGCATGCATTTGTTTATACTAACATTATGTGTTAAGCACTCGTCAGCCAGTTGTGACGTATGCAAGGTATGGCAAGTTGGACCGGGGGTGATGTTTGAAAAAATGCAACCGTCGGTTATCGAGTTCAGTATCGGAATTTAAACGGTCGTTTATCGGTTTTCCATTGTCAGCTCTTTTTATTTATTAGACTGCTTTCCCGCTTTTTAATTGCTTAAAATGTTTTTAATTCTCTTAGATAACATGTTTAATAAACTTAAATAATATTAGATATTTTCAAGAAAACTGAACGTACAAAACGGTATATACAGCCGTTGCATCAATTTATCATTTCAATTTAGATTAAATAAAATTAACATCAAAATGCACAAAGGTAAGATTTATTTGCTCGATTATAGAATTAATTAAAGTTATCCGTGACGAACCAAGTTAAATTGATTGAAGTTTTATTCATTTAAGTGCTCAATAAGATTTGCCATTATCAATAATTTTTGGCGGGGTAATTGAGTTGAATTATATTTATTTACATAAAAAAAAATATCTAAAGGTCTTTGATAAACGTGTTGTAATATTCAAACCCATTATTGAATCTACATTGTTTATGAAATTTTAATGGTTTTTTTGTTCAATATTTATGTGTATAGAAATATTTCTTGTTAAGTCTGTTTATAGTTTTCCAATAATTGAAGTCACAATTAATTTTTTGCGTTACTTTTTTTTTCAATACTGAGACTTATAATTATAAATAATTTGATTTTTAATTATATTGTCGACATTACTTAGAACATTTTTTTTGAAGATTTGTTTTCAAATTGTAAACAAAATTTGAGTCTTTGAAGTACTTTTATATATAATTGATTATAGTTGAAAAGTCATTTAAAGTGTAATATAATTATATTATTACAAATTTAAGCTTATAAAATACTTGGTACTTTATTTAATAAATGATCACTTAAAATTTTTCATTTGTAAATAGTGTTTACATTTTTTGAACTATTTATTTTGTACATGACAAAAGAGTCAATAAAATAACAATGTAAAAAAAAATAAAGCTATAGTGGGTGAGACTATATGTAGAGATTGATCCAAAATATAAATGGAAATGTTTATAAAACAAAAAAATGTTGAATGGCTAAGGATTTTTAATGTTGATTTTGAATCTGGCTTCTGATATTTTCTATCGCATTTTGTTTTTGAAATAATTATTAATAAGTAATTAAGTGATAACTATAAAAGTAAAATCATTATAAAAAATAATTTTTTTTTTATGAGTCATAAATTTAAACTGTCTCACCAAGTTTGACATAGTTTAATTTAAAATTATGAAAGATTTAAACAATATTAATATTGTACTTTTTGAGTAAATTTAAAGTGAAAAATTTGTTCTAAACACAAAAAATCTCAATAATTCATAACAAATACTGGCGTTTTATGTACTTTTCCAGTATTGTTTTATTTTGAAGTAATTATTTAATAATAATTTTATTAATTTATTGATATAATCAGATTTTATGTGGGACAATTATATAATAAATTATTTATACAATTATAAACAATAATTTATAAGCGATTTGCTAAATGTATTTTGTTAATTTAAATTAAATACATTATAGAAGTAAAAATTTTCAAAAGTGACACTTCACTACGGAATAATTTCAAAATTTATAGAAATGAATAAACATAATCATGTTAAAAAAAAATTTTATTTAACAGTAATTGAAAAATATTAAACTTGTGGTTAAAATATTGAGATAAAAACTAATGGCATATTTGGAATAAGCGTCCAAATAGTTGTTGTGGTAAAATAAAAAAATGTTATAATAATTTCATAACCCAAATTTTGTTGAGCTTTGTAATTATTTCTTTTATAGTTATTTTACCAAATATTTTATTAGCAACACCAAATATTTGATGTTGTTTATTATTAATTAATTATTAAGAATAATGTTAGTTTTGTAGCCACAAATTATTTTGGCATAGGAGCTGATTATTTGTTTACATGTAAAGGTTTTTTATAACCAATCACTAGTAGTTGACATAAAGACAAAGTTGATTAAAAAGAGTATAGGGTTTTTATGGCCTCACTAAAGTTTAGTATGTTAACTCTGAGATAAATAAAAGATAGGCTAACAAAATAAAGATAACAATTAAGTACAATTTAAAACTATTAGTCGTTTTCATAGATCATAAAAAAATATGTTCAATTTTAGGAGGAGGAGTCCATAGTTCCACTAGTTACTGCACTAAATAAAGTAAATTTTATACACAAGTCAATTAGTTTCTAGTTAATTTAAATAGTATATACTAATAGTCTGAATAGGCAATATTTGTCTTCTTATAAAGTAATTAGTTATTAGAATAATAAACAAATAATTTGCTTTGCATTCAGGTAACAGATAAATAGTTCAGGAATATAAATGAACACATAAAAAATTTATTATTTATTTATTATTTATATTGAAGAATATTGTGTGCATTTATTATAATATTCTTTCTAACAAACATTTTTTTTTAATATTCAGGTGTTGCTGACAATGAATATGAAATTGAAAATATTTTATTTGATGAAATGTTTGGAAATAAAGTTATGTACCTTGTTAAGTGGAAAAATTATCCAATGGCTCAATGCACATGGGAGCCATATCGAAACCTTACTAATTGTCAAGAAATTTTGAATGATTATAAATTAAATAAAATTGTAATTAAAGATATGTATAATAATGAAAAATTCAAAAAACTTTATGATGCTCTTCGTGATTATACTGAACAAGAAGTTATTCAATTACTACAGAATTTTGTTGATAGTGGTCTACCTGCTGTTGAAGAACAGTTTGTTAAAAGTACAATTGGTTATTTATCTACGGTGCCCGTACCTAGTAGAAGTAAGGGTTTAATGAAAGTTGCAAGGGATAACCTAATGCTAATTGAAGTTAATAAAAGACGACAACGACAGTTGGAAAGAATAGAAAAGTGGCAAACAGATATAAATCAAGTATGCGGGTTCAATTTAAGTGTCGTTAATAATGTAGACTTTGAAGGTCCCCCAAAAAAATTTATTTATGTAAATGAATGTGTAGCAGGTAATGGAGTTACAATACCAGATGATCCCCCTGTATGGTAAGTATTAAATTAGAAATTTTTAAATGATAATCTAACTATTTCTGAAAATTTTGATAGGTGTGATTGTGATATAGTATGTGGAGGTAAAAAAAGAAAACGTAATGGTTGTCATTTCAATGATTCCCAGATTGCTTACAATAAATTTAAACGATTAGTAGTTCCTATAGGTACACCGATCTATGAGTGTAATAAAAAATGTAACTGTGATAGTTCGTGTATTAATCGTGTTGTTCAACATGGTCCTAGTAAAAATTTGAAACTTCAAATTTTTCGCACACACAACCACAGAGGATGGGGTGTAAAAACACTTGTACCAATTAAACAAGGCAGTTATGTTAGCAAATATACTGGTGAAGTGATCACTAGTTCTGAAGCAGAAAGACGGGCTAACACAAATGGACAAAAATCTACATATATGTTTGATTTAGATTATAACACTGATAAAAATGATTGTGTATATTCAGTTGATGCAACTATTTATGGGAATGTGTCTCATTTTATTAATCATTCATGCGATTCTAATTTAGCAATATATGCTGTCTGGATTGATTGTTTAGATCCTAATTTACCGACATTAGCATTGTTTGCAACAAGAGACATTAATGTTGATGAAGAAATAACATTTAATTATATGACTCAAGTAAATAATAAAAATCAAAGGATTAAGTGTAAATGCCAATCCAAAAACTGCCGTGGATATTTATGTTAAGTATTAATTTATTAATTTTTCTTATATTTTGACATTTATATGTATTGTATATCTTATTTGTATAAATAATGAATTAATTTAGATTCAGCTATAATTTTGAATTAACTGCAAATTAAAATGTCACAACAAATTATTATTAAAAAAAACAACAGACAATTAAATGTTTTTTATTACTTGAAACTAATTCTGAAGTTCATAGATAAGTTTAATTAAATTATTGAAATATTTAGATGATATACGAGTGATAAATTTATAGTTAAATGATAGCTTATTAGGAAACTATAGTCAAATTAATGTTGAAAAAATATATTATTATACCTCAAATATTGTGTATTATGTATTTAAATAGAATATGCACATATTTAATACAATGAATATTTGTGCTAAACATAATAATAAGTGTATAATGTAATTAAAAAAAATGAAGATAGTTGTTTATTGTAAAGTTTATAAATTTTTGTGAGTACTAAAGAAATTGTAATGTACAAATAATTGTTTTATTACTTTTATAAAATATAAAAATATTTTTTTAATATTTTTATTGCTGTAATTAATGCAATTTCGGAACTTAAGATTGCATTTGATTCTTAATATAATTTTAATATGTGTAATGTATTGATAATACACTTATTTTTATACACGTATGTTAGTTGTAAATTGTATTATTTGTAAGTAAAAATTTGTTATGATTAGTTACTTTAGTTGGAAACTATGTTATTATTTATAGACTGATACTTTGTTATCTATTTAGTGGTAAATGTGACAGTAAGTATACAATTTTATTTTTTTCTTTGCATCCTTAAATGTTATAATTGATCATTATAACTTTTAATAGTAAGATATTTTTTTAATCTTAGTATATTTATAATTTTTTAATTTAAGTACAATGTTAGAAATATTTCAATCTAGAATAAGTTTAAATTTATTTATTTTAAGATATGAGATTAAATTAAACATTTTTTTAATAATATAGTGTTTACTGTACATATTATAAACAAATAAAAATAATTTTCAATTATCTAATGGTATTTTTATTTTTTGTAGCACACGTCTTGCTTTGTAACTTATTTTAATATGTGTAAAAAGTTCTAAAACTTTTCTAATACAATTAATGTGTCTGAGTTAAATCATAGGATGAATAAAAAAATAATTTCAATTTAAAAGGTATTTTTAGATTCTTTTTGAATTCATAAATATTTTTTTAATATATAATACATTTGTCAAAATTCTTGTTAATTTTAGTAGTGTTTTACATTGCTATAATAATAGTTATTATATGCTGGTTTGACGCTAGAAACCTGAGGTCTTGTGTGAAATAATTTTGCAAGGCACTTAATATTTTTTTTTGTCTCAAGCTAAATTTATAAGGCTACTCCCTAATAATATATTCAGGATCAGCTGTATCACATTGTGACACAATTTTTTTTTTTTAATTTTGATTCATTGAGATCGTTGAGATCATTAAATAGTGTTTCGAGTTCTTTGTATAGCATATGTATTATGTAAGTTGGAAAAAATGTTATTATTGTTTATAATGTTGCAATTGTCCTGCTTCTTTACTTTATGAAAACTGAATGTTAAGAATTGAATTTCTTGGTATGGTATAGAAATAAAAAAATAAGTTACTACCATTACTTGGTACACATAATTTATGTGTATGCTGCATAAAGAATTTTTGAATTTATATTATACGTTTATAAATCTAGTTTTTTTATTTTAGTTTAACAAATTATGATTACTCAACAGATTTATGTTATATATTATTGATAACATTTAGCCGGTAAGTCGAATTATGATATGAAGTGTTCTAGGTTGTGAAATTCGTAATATCGAAGTGAACTGTATTTTAATGCTTGCTATATCTGTTATCCAAAATTGTTTAACGAGATTTACGAACAATTATTGTTTAATTTCAATTAAGGTGAGTTACTATAAAGTTTTCGAAAATTCATATTTTTGGACATAGTTTTAGAATCTAAAGATATGAAAAAAATGTTAATGATAACTAAATACAATTTAAAATAATATTTGAATTTCGTTCATTTAACATTTAAGTTGTATAATTAGTATGACTTTATATTTTGATAAATGTAAAGGAAGAAATGATACAATAAAGTTTTTATCACAGCTTATATGTAAAATAGTTTGGTCTTGATATATTTTCATATAGTCTGTAGTTTAACAGTTTTTTTTGTTTAAAATTGTAAGTTTATATTCTTTTATAACTTTCCTTAATAATGTATTAAATATTTTTCTTCTTTATTAAATTATTAATAAAAATGTAATATTTTTTCATCAATGTTTCCTATTTTATTGTAAATGTATAGCTAGCAAGAAGTATGGCTGATTCTTCAACACTAAAAAAGATTCCTGATGTCGAACTTGATAATGGAGGACGTTATAAGTATATCCTTGTTAAAGTAACTGATCATAATAATGATTCCAATTTGTTCAAGTATGTAGTGCATGGGGGAAGGCAGTTTGAATATCATGGTAAGATAAGAGTGTTTTTATAATTTATGTAAGTAAAATTTTTACACATAACAAAAAAATATGTAAGTTTCTTAGACAGTCGTTTCAATATTTTTATTATATTAAAGCAATGTTGTGTATTCATTGGATAATAACATGAAACCATGTCATCAATTAGAAGTAATTTTAAGATATTATTTAGATTCTACTTATTTATAAGAGGTATAGAAAATTAAAGTTATTGTCTTTGATACTAACTTCAAGCAGCTGAAAATCATGTTTTAATTTTGTTTAAAATTGTATTTTTTATTGATTAAGAATTATAGATTTATGCTAAGATAATTGCTTTGACACTTAATTGTGTAATAAAAATTTTATCTATAAATCATGTAAGTAAAAAATTATGTAAATAATTTACATAATTATTATTACTCACTTTACATACATTTTTATATTAAGATATTTATTTCTTTGTGTGTAAATAGACTCAACTTGAATAGAAGGTTCCTTAAATTTTTACAAAATGGTCTATTTTGTTATTACCCATACAATAACTTGCAAAATAAGTACCATATTGAAAAATAATGTTTTGACTTTTTTTATACATCTTAATTTCTTAGTTATTAATTAATTTTTAGAACTATTTTTTTAATTTATAGGAGTGTCAATTTCACTTTTTATCTGATATTTTTCCTTATATAATTGTCATATTTTTCACATATGCATAAAGAGTAATTCTTTTAATAATAGACTTTCAATTTCTCTTAAAAAAATAATTATTTTTAGAAAATTCTTTTTGATATTTTTAAATTTTATATATTTCTTGATTTATAAGTTATTAAGTATTTTTTTATTCATCTCTCACAGGTTATAAGGAATTTAATTTTTGGAAATATACATTTATAACTATCTTATTAAATAAGAGATGATTTATAAAAATGACTGATTGATAACAACTTTTCATCCAGTACTTCTAAAGTACTAAGTAGTTAATTATCATACATTTTGAGGTACTTGTCTAAAAGAGTTGTGTTGACCCATCATTTTTTTAATTAGATAATCTTAAGTTTCATTAACTATTGAAATATATATGTTGTTAATTATCCTTTTCTTATAAAAAATTAACATAAAAAATACTTTTTGACTAATAAACTAAAATAAACAAGATATTAAAAGAAATAATAAAAAAATTATTAATATTATTTTTAATTTTTGAATAACTAAGTAGAATGTAATAATAACCCTGTATAGTCTGGGTGTTTCGTGTGTAGTTTTAGTTATTATGCTAATAAATTAAACAAACTGAGGAACAATGTTATGTATTTTAATATCATAGATACAATAGAATAATGATTAAAACAAATTCATAGTATTAATTAAATTAAGGAAAATTTTTTGACATGGGTATTAATAAGATATGATTAAAAAACTTATATATGTATAGCTGAAATTCAAGGCTGAAAATAACTATGTATCTGTAATATACTTCTGATAAACAAACCATATTTTGTATGATAAATATTAAACATCATGAATTGGTATTTACTATAGAAATAATAGACAAAAAAAAGAAATAAATTTAATTAGAAAAAATAATGTTGCATTTAATAATCTTAGAAATATTTCACAAATATTTCAATTTCAATTCAATTAAATCTTTTATTATGATATATAAAAAAAAAATGTAGTTTTTTATGTAAAAAATATTATTTGTTATATCATTTTAACTATTAAAAATGTTGGTTTTAAAACAATTATTTGTTTAACTTAAATAATAGAGTTCATGCGTAATGCAAATTATTTACACAAAGTTTAATTTTATCATTATATTGTGGTTTTTTGGTGTTATTTACTGTGAAACTTATAATAGTACATAATTTTTATGATCTAGTTTTTTTAAATTAGATAAATTAAACTTTTATGACAGTCAAATGATAAAAAAATGTTACAAAAAAAAAAAAAATTAAATGATATAGGGGTTAGAATTGTAACTACACTCAAATGTCAAACATTAAGTGTAATAACAATTTTATTTTTTACTTAGATTAAGAAAAGTACATGAAAATAGGAAAAATAATTAAAAAGTTTAAATAATTTATATTATTAGTGATTCTGTAGAATTTAGTGCTGTTCACTTAATTGTTATAATAGAGGTTCTAATTAATGTTTCATCATGCGCTATTTATAAAATTAACATTCAATATTTTAAAAGTAAATAATTTGTATTAATGTCAAAAATTATTAATACTTATCATCTCAATTCAATTGATTATCAATATTAACAGAAGAAAAATACATTAATAACTTATTAATTTTATTAAAGACTATATAATCAAATTTTTATGTAATAGCTTATAATTATTAATGTATAAAATATAATACTATTGAGCTTTGATAGAAACTCTTAAAATAATATTGTTTTGTATTTCATAATACATAAATTTCAGGTAGTTAATATTTTTCATTCATTAGCATAGAGTTCTCACTTTTTGTCAAAATTCGCAAATAAGGTATTGTATTTTTCTAAAAACGGGGAGAAAACCGTATTGTTATTATACACCAATTATATGAGGGGTTGATTAAAAAATTAACATTCCGCACAATTGAAATCTTATTTAAATGTTGGTAATCATAGTAAATAATTGTTCTACCCTGCTGAAAATTAGCCTATTTAATAGGTACCGTGTTTTTCAAAAATGAAAAATTAAATTTGTTTATTGGATGTCGACTACATAAGAAAAATGATGCTTATGCACTTGTATTTTGCTATATTAAATATGATTCGTCCAGTTGCAAAAGGACGACTCATACAATAAATGAGTATCATGTTATGATACACATAATATACATAGTATTGTCATACTAAAACTAGACAATTACTAATTATCGTCAAAAAACACCAAACGAAGATATAATTTTCAACTATAGATCAATTACCTACGTTAACATTTAATTTTATCTTAAGAACACATATTTTACGAAGCTATTAAAAATCGATTGAGAAACATTCTATGATCTATAATTAAAATTAATATATTAAGGGACATAAAAAAGATATTAAAATCGAATTTTAAATAGCATTACTGGATCTTAGCTGTTTTTAGCTTAAATAATATTATATTTATAAATAAGTTCATTAAAATTAAAAATGTCTAGTTTTTTTACATGTAAAAATATCTTATTATCTAGATATAAAATTAATGATTAGATAATGTAGTGTAATATTTTATCCAATTCATTTGGAAACCACTTTCACTATCTATAGTTGCTAAAACAACACAGAATTCTTTGAAACTTGAAGTTATTGGATTCGCCGTTATCGGCATTTAAATCGGCCGTAGCTGTCATCGAATGAATGTCACGATTATCGGCCGATTCTGTTAGGCCTCAGAGTTCCAAACCGCTATTGGTACATCGTTCTTCAATTGATATAGTGGTCTCTTTGGTAGTGGTTGGAACTAACGGACATGGTCCTAATGTTGCACATGATGCGTTTTTACATTCTAAAACAAACATATTCACTTAATATATATTTTTTAAGTTTTAAATTATATCATTGTCTTTGTTATTTTATCAGTTATAAATTGACTTTATTATCCAGTTAGTAGTACAGAATACGGAATGTTCCAATTTCATGTTTATTATTTAACAGAAATTCATTATGCCTCAAACTAAAAGTTATGTCATTTACTAAAAAAAATTATCAATTTTTTTATACAATTACTCGGAGCTATTAAAGTTCAAGTATAATAGACACAACTTAGCAAACAAGGGTAGAATGATAGCATCTCTTCTCAATAATAATTAGTTGTTAAAAATTATTATTATAATAAGAAATATTGAAAGAATGAAAATTAAATTTATTCTTCAAAAATCTAAATTTTATTTTTTAGTTACTTCTTAGGTTAATATATACGTCATAGGCGCAATTTCAAAAAAAAAATATTTGTCTAATGCTTTTATATACTATTATATATATATTTATATTAGTTATTGTAAAATTTGGGAGGGACTAAAGCCCTCTGAGTCTTCTTAATTTTCGTCTATAACAAATAATTCACAAGTTAACAATTATAGATATTAAAACCTTGTATCATCATTTTTAAAATCAACAATTCAAAGTTAACTAATATTAGAGTATGATAAGAAGGGAGTTAAAATTAAAGTTTCTATTATTAAAATGTATACGATGAGTACAAATGATTGAGATATTTGTTATTATACCTGATATATATGTATTGGACGGTGTGTGCATCAAACTGAAAGGCAACTTAAGAGACATTTGTCCACCCATTGCACCTATTAGAAGTTTAACTTTCACGTAGTATGTGACGTATATAGCGAACACATTGCGGTCTTCGGGCGATACACATACTACTGTACTAGAGAGAGATCCTTCTGATTTATTGACGGCCGTACCTAGAGAATCTTCTAATGCGATCCAATTCTTTGTTCTTGCTTTTAGTGGATAAAGTTTGTATTCTTTCTCCAATGTTCCGCCGTTCCCGGGTATGGGGACTTCGGTGCATTCTGCTGAAGCTACAGTATTTTTGAATTTACCGTTACTAAACATACATACGTCCACATGTTGCACAATAAAAACCTGAAAGAAATAACATGATTTATATGAAAAATGTATCAAAAGCTTATGTGCATTATTGTATTCTATATCATTTAGTTCACCTTTAGACGTTTTACGGCCTTTTTGGAAGTATTTTTTACACCAATGTTAACATGGACGGGATCCCCGTGCGTGTAAATGGCTTTGTCTAAATTAGCTTCCAGGGTAACTTTTCCGTCACTGAGCAAAAATGGTTTTTCTGATGTGGCGTGTGGTCCACGTTGACGCCATCCTTTTGATGGTTCTGTCCTAGGAGTAGGCGTTGGGGGTGGAGGCGTTGAAGCTAATTGAACAACTTTTATACCCATTTTCACGATATTTTTTCTTTGAATTTTTTCATCGGCTCTTTCAGCTGTATCATAATAAACAACGAATATATTAAAATCATTAGTGAAATCCTTAAATCATGTTATGAAAAATGCTGGTATTATGTTTTCATTATTCGTGTTTATGCAAAGAATAATTAATTAGTTCAAATGATTTTAAAAACACTATTGAGTTACCTAATTTGAATTTAAGATAATACTATTAAAATAAAATTTAAAAATAATTTATAAAATTCTCTGTTTTGTTTAAATAAGATTTGCAGTACATAAATGTATACGTTTAAAAATATACATTAATTTAAATTATTTTGATTATAATTATGATAAATATATAATAATAATGATAATGATTTAATTTATAATACATGTAAATCAACATGTATACATTACATTACATTACAGCTAAATTTGTTAAAGAATCTAAACAAATCAAAAGATTTCCTTTTTGCAGCAAATCTTTTGAGTTAGCCCATTTTTGAGGCTTTAAAAATTATTAGTCTTATATTATGTAAAAAACTTTAATTTGGTATCAGAAAAATTTCAATTGATTAATCGTCAAGATATTTAGTACATAAAACTCTAAATGTCGTATAATATATAATTGATAATATTATTTACGATTCTCCTAAAATTTTAAGTTCTGCAATTACTACTTTTTTTGAGACAACTTTTAAGTGTCAAGTCTAATTTTATCTTTTTAATTTTTACCTATGTACACACGTATGTCATAGCTAGTGCCTATTGGTGCTCCATTGTATTCTTTGGCTGGAACTAATTGTACGCTTGGAGGCGCTAAATGAGTTACTTCCATTGAAAAAGGATGTGCATTATTCCCTAGCCTTTGCATAAGCATTTCCTGTAAAAAACATAGTAATAAGTTAACTCTTTGTCCCTCGGCATTTAATTTTTCTTTGATATTGCCTGTAAAGGTGTATTTTGGTCACGCTGTGCATTTTCGTGGGGTGGATAAATTTGTGCTAAACACATGATGGCTTCGTTACAAAACTTCAGACCCATGACTTCTTCATCTTCTCGACCATATCGGAATGTTAATGTTATTTGTCCAAAGACCTGACAATTTAATATTTTATGATTATTCGTTAAATCTTTTTTGAAAGTTTGCTAATTAGTATTGAGGTTATTTTGTTCTCAAAGCTACTAAAAAGTGCTTTCTGTCGTGTCACTAAACTAACATGTTATAAATTGTGTTGGCAATGTATTAGTTCGTCAGGAATTAAATCGCTACATATCCGTTAAGTCTGTCAAATCAGGGTACATTGTGATGTTTTAAAGAATCAAAAGTCTGATGTGTATGCCTCGTTTAGAATCCATTAATACGCAGTAGAAGTAGAATGTATGTAATAACTACGATAATAATAGCGATAACAACACTCAGCGTGACAACGGTGAAATGCTTTTAACATTCTGATCTGGCTAAAGTGTTTTATACTTCATCGTTGTGGGTCATGAATCGATATAAGAGAAAAAATAACTAAAAAAAGAACTGCAAAATCAACCCTTCGCTTTACTAATGAAAATTATTTAAACTAGCGTTAAATGAGTTCAAATAAATTAATAAAAATTATTAATTCTTTTTTAATTTTTTGGAGAATAATTTATTTGTATTTGTTATGAATAATTTTCATTCCTTTTCTTTTAATATAAAAATTTATTTTCAGAGTTCTAGTGTTTTTTTAATTAATCGTTGTTATTAAATCACACATCCCTAGTATGCACCTGTGATACTATTGATTAATCATAAATGTTGTATGGTCAGTTAAGCATTATTCATAAATTGATGAACTCATTACTTAAACTTATAAAAAACAATTAATAAAATATACATTGATTAATGTTGACTTACAAAAATAAAAAAAAAATGTTGGATATATTAAAATTTTAGCTTTGATGCGAAGCTGAGAAGGTATTATTATTATTTTGTTTTGTCTGTTACCTCTTATATTCAGCTCTCGCTGGACCGATTTTGATGAACAATTTATTAAAAGATCACGAATCGTGTCTAGTCAAATCCAACTCTCAAAAATTGAAAAAATTTCCCTCGTTCCCGTAAATGGGAGAAATTTCCAAAAAAAATTACAATTTAAAAAATCAGTAATTTTCGAAATTTTTTGAAAAATTGTCATAACTTTTTCAAAAATGTATGGATCAAAATCATTTTTTTTTATAGATTAGATAGCACATTAGGTATTTACCTATCATTTGGTATATTGTAGTACCATTAAATCTGACCCTTTACCTGTCCATAAGAATGGTCTCAAAATGACAATTTTTCCGCAAAAAATTAATTTTCCAAAATGTTTAAGTAAAACTGACATTATTATATTTATTATATATTAAAGTTAATGTAATATACATTAATTTGAAAAAAAGAATTTGACCTTCATAGTGCAATTGGCTACCGTAAACAAATATATGCTATTTTTGTGTTAAATTCTTGGTTTTATATTTTATTTTATTTTAAAGTACCTTAAAAAGTGAGTACAATGATTTTCATAAATATTGTGTAAATATAATTGACGTAGCTTATATAGTTAAATATTTTTTGCTTCTTTTGAGTCGAGAAAAATAAATTTGGAATTTGAAATAACTTAAATTGCCATTTTTGTCCTCTGAAGAAATGTGACATAAGGTGCCGGTTGGTAACACTTGTGTATTTCACGCTGGGGTACGAGGTTCAAACCCTCCTGTGGCTAAGAACTTTTATCTTAATTACTTTTGAGTTAGAAAAAAAAATTAATTCATAGATTCAATAAATATCAAGGATCCCATTACTGTAGTCTTCCCTCGTTAGAAGAAAATTCTTATTCATATTAAATTTATTTTACAATACGGTGTTTTTTGAGACTGTCATTTATTTTCTTAGCTCTCCATTGACCTACTTTTTTAATGATACGTCAAATGGTTACATTTCGTATCTAGTTGAAGATATTACCCTCAAAAATTGAAAAAAATTCCACTGTATCAATTAAAAAGTTACTTAGGCCACATTCTCCATGTAGATAATTAAAATTATTAATTTCTAATGTTTTTGAAGTATTTATTGTTGAATTAAGTTTGATATGATAATAGTTTTCAACTATAAAATGAAATAATTATACTTTGTAATTTATTATTATTTTTTACTCTATTTGCGTGTGCTACTACTAGTCTATAATCTAAATTTTTAACATGTTTCTACATAAATAATTTCTAAAAAAAAAAAATTTAGTTTCACCTGAATTTAACAATAGATTTTTATAATTATAAATAAATTATATAATTCGCTAAATTAAGTAGATTTTTTAACAACACCTTGATTGTTTTTTTAGTTAAAGTAAATGATTAAAATTAATTCAGTTCTGCATATTTCAATTATAGAATATTTTTAATCACTATGATTACTATTATTTCTATTTAAGTGATCTTTTATGATAAAAATGCAAACAAATATTGAGCTTTTCTGATAAATTTACTATAAATAGTAGTTATAAAATTATATAATATTAATCTTAACAATAACAATTTTTTAATTCTCATAAAATTTTCTATTTAATGATGCCAATTTCAAACTTGCGAGTTGAGCTAAAAGTTATGATAACAAATTCAACTTTTTTTTTATATTAGACTTTCACAAAAATCAATTTTGAAGGTCCCAAAAAAAAAAAAAAATAGGTTAAAAATGGTATTTTGTACTGATTATTTTTAACTTATTAAAAATCCATTCAGTAATAATTTGAAAACAAATTGTTTTTTTTAATTATTTTCTTATATGTAAATACTCATTTGTTACTAATTAGTTGTAATATCAAGAACTAGAAGTGATAGAAAAAGTCTAATTGCAGATAAAACTGCGCGAAAAGGTGATATATATTTATATATATTTTTGATACCGATTAAAATTCCTTGTAGTTCAGCGTATTTATTCATATATAACAAAAAAGTTTGTTTGAAAAGTATTGCATCAAGCCCTTTAAATTTTTATACACGTTAAAAGTAAACAAAAATATATAACTACTTTATTATTTTTATAATTTCTTTGTATAAATCATAATATTAAATTGTTGAATATCAATTTTATACTAAATTTAATTATTATAATTAGTATTATATTATAATTTCAAATCAAAGAACTACTAATTAGGATATATTTAAGGAAATAGGATTTGAATAATAGTTGTAATTATCCACCAATTTCTTAGAATTTAACACTATCTACAGATTTGCATCGAAGCTTTTCTGATGATAGTGATTTTAATCATTGTCAGATATCATCTATACTTGTCTCAACTATGGTACGTCTGTACTGTGCCGCAATCCCACTGTGCTATCGTTATTTATTTTTGTGTTAATATTCATATAAAAGGACGTAAAAAGTAAAAAAATATTCAGGCATTGTTTAAAACCTGAATTTGTATTTATTTGTTTGAGCAAGATTGCATTGTAAACTTTTTATTTGTATTTCTGTAGTCAATTTTTTAAAATTAACGAGAAAATATGAATAACATGAATCTCTTTGTCTATATTATTGTTTTTAATGTTCACAGTATCGTTCTATGATGACGTAATAATTTTTTTGTTAATGTTAAATAAAGCTCTATGTTTATTATACTATAAATACGATGGCATATTTTGGAATTTCTGATGCGAAAGATTTCAGAATACTAGATTTGTGGGAAGCTATGCCCCCCCTCTACTATGATTTTATGTCAATAAATAGGTAAGGTGTAAGAACTTTCTAGAGATTCATATTAATACTTTACTTTAAAAATAAATATTACAATTAATTACAAAAAAAATAAGATAAATTATAAAATTTAAGTAATATTAGTATTTGTCTGTACCAATATTTTAAACTAGTAAAAATTCTGTAACTCTTAAAATAGTCACAGTTGAAGTTTAAAAAAATTAATTATTTAGTTAGCAGAACAACAATATTTTTACGAAATTAAATAAAAACTCAAAAGTTTTAAATAAAAAATTTTTTTTGTTAAAGAAAAAAATGATAACTTTTTATTTAAAAAAAGTTATTAAGTCAGAATGAACATTTCTATAAGCTAAAAATATTGTTAATATGTTTATTCTAGTGTGCAAATTAAAATTGTAATGTACCAGAATCTTAAAATTGTATTGAATAACTTTTTATATTTTAGCAGCTTACTTTCTTTTTGGGATCTTTGAGTAGTTCAGGATCGATTAAAACGATGCCATGAATTTTTGTGGCGGAATTGTTTGATACTACCACATCCCTGTTGCCCAAATATAAACATAATTTATTATTTTGAGCGGTTTTTCGAAATACTCTATAAAAACACGAATTTCATTATTAATTTATTTTATATTTCAACAAAATTATTAATTTGTATTAATTAATTAATATAATATTTAATAAAACTAAGTGTTTTTTTATAATTTTATCATTATAATTTACCTTTGAGCTAGTCCTGGTAACGAATCCTGTATACTGTAACTAAAACAAACATAATATTATTACATTATTTACTAATACATTTTTTATTGTATCTTGTATAAGATTCATAAAATATTTACCTGTTTCTTAGTTTTGATCAAGAAATATTTAGCTTATCACATTAGTGAATATTGTGATGATAGAATTTTTTAGATTTATAATAAGTATTGAATGTTATTCATAAAAATATTTATTCGTGTTATTTATTTGATAATAATATTCGCTTATTATGTTGAGTAGATCATTCAAATTTTTAAACATCAACTTATTATTCTAAATTTAAATAATTCTAGTACAACTTTGTTTGAGTAAACTATACTATGCATATTTGATTACGAAATATAGGCAAATGGTTTTATGTTTGTAAAATATGTACACTAATATAATAAATACTGAATTATTATTAAAATTAACCAAGCGTGAATTTAGAAGATGTTTACGGTCAGAGTGGATTGATTTTATGTTAACTAAGAATATAAACTATACGCTTCCACCAATAATTCTAAATTTATGCCTGAAATTTAATCAATTATGATTTATTATTTATTTAGCTGTAATTTTTGCCATATCATTGTTACTATTTTACTTTTCTAATATTTGTTGTCAGATACTTTAATTGATCTCTAAAATTCTAGGTAGAAAGATTTAAATTTAAAGGCTTAATTATGCTCTTTGGCTTACTTTAAGCCTTAAAGCAAGTCAAATAGCATTATAGTGCTCTGATAAATTTAGTATATAATCTATGGACAAAACTTTAAACTATAGATTTTTTCTTATGTTTTTTAATGTTTGCGGTGAAATATGAATAATTAATGGGACCGTATAGATTATTTTAAGTACACATCTCTAAGTTTGTTAATAGTTAGGTTGAGTTAGTGATTTGATATCATTGATCCAAATATTAAACAATATAAAGTGACGCTCAGTGTAATGAGTTTGAAATTTGTACTAAAAGTATTTGTTCATAAGATTTCTTATACACGTTTATGGCCGATGGTCATTCTCTAGTGCCTATGTCAGAATGATTAATGTCAATAGCAATGTTTGTGAATGCGACCCACGTATGGTGTAGTCGTTTTCGACACAATAATTCTATTTGTACTATTGTTTTTCTACCTAATATAAAGAATATTTATGACATTCAGTATCAAAGTGATTGGATTGAATGAAATAATAGCCTTCAAATAATTTTTTAGTCGTTCTGTTAAAAAATAACATGAAAATTATTTAAACCGTCAAAACTGAAAACAAATTGATCTGTGTAACTTTTCTATTGTAGTCATAAATAATCTATGGTGCCTATATTTAAAAATACAATGTCGTACTTCAAATATCATATGATTACCTTTTTAACTTATCCTTAAAGTATTTGTGAAACTCTAACTGCTGCGTGTATGAATGTTTGTTTCCAATGAAAACAAACATAGAAAATGTTTTATGGGAACGTTTCTCTCATTTGTGATGTAAATTTTATAGCATTATTATTCCTTATTCGGTCAAAGGGTTATATATCGAATACGACTAAGTGTTGCAAAGGTAGTGCTTTCACGCATACAAAATTCAGTGGAATACTCTAAGGATGAGATTGATGTGTTATGTGAATTTCCTTTCAGTTTACCATGATGCGAATTATTAGTTTTTTAACCTTTTTTTAAAATAAATTGTATTATTAATGAATTTAAAGAAATAAAACATATTTATGATAGTATATGTAATGAAAGACTTTTATTGTTGTGATGTTTTTATGAGGAAAAGGTTTAAAAGTAGTACAGTTAAAAACTTAAAAACTAAGACTATTTAAAAATAGGATTATTACAATTTTATACATAGATTTATTATGCGAAAAAATAGATAATGAAAAAAAAAGATAATTTTAAATGGACAATTCCAAGATCACTTTTTTATGTATAAAATAACAATGAATTTTGAAAAAAATGTGTTATGTAAATGATGGTTTTAAAATTTCCTTTCGCTTTTTTATGAATATTTTGTATAAAGAATTATATATCACAAAAATTTTAATACTAAAAGAGGCTGTAAATTTAATTAATGTAAGTAAAAATTACCGAGTGACGGTTTTTGCTGACTATGTCGTAATTGAGTTGGAATAATAATATCGCTATCTTTTTAGAGAGATAAATATTTTATTCTTTTAAAAGAGAGGTCAGAGAGTTTTTCGAGGAGGTTCTTAACAGAAAATTTTTAAATACTGTGTTGATTTTTACTTGTTCAAAAGATTTTTACAGTGGTTTTCCTTTGTAATTCCTCTTTCTAGTAAAGAAAAATTAAAAATTATTATGTGTCAACAAAAAATATGTAGATTTTTTAATCTAATACAAAGCTATGGTATAAAACCTAAAATTATAATCTTCACTATTAGTCATTGTATTTTTTCCCGTTATTGTTGACATCATACAAATATAGTTATAAAGTTATATTTCAATTTATATTGTAATTATGAAGTAGAAATTGAGCATTAAATATTTTAGTTATGCTGTACAAAGCATAATTATATTTTTACAAAAGAATATGTGCTGGAATTTAAGTTGGTTAAAAGACTAAAAAGGATTTAATGCTTAAAAGTTTAACCTAGTAGAATAAATATTTTACAGAATAAAAGAGTTTGAGAAATAAAACTTTAAGTTTCTTTTTGTATCTTATGTTTTTATATAACCAGTCAGCACTTTTTAAATAATCAAGTATAGTATTATAATAATCTGAAATTAATCAACTGATATTTACTGTTAAATTAATTACTATGAAATTTACTATAATATAAAATAATAGATGCCTATTAAATAAACTAAATCAATATTTCCTTACTTAAAAATATCAATTATTTTGACCTTATGTTAATAAACCAAAATATAATCCTTAAAAAAGAAGCTTTTCATCTCAAATTACTGTGTAAATGATTGTACGGTGAATGTTGTGGCCTGTGCATAGTCGAACTGAAATACGTCACTTTTTCTAAAGAGTCTGTTATACTATCGAAATAATAGAAAAAACTTTTTTCATCTGAAATCAGTAAGGCCGAAGCATATATTATAGAAATATAAATTGTTTTTGTTCTGGCCTAATAGACTGATTAAAAACTACTTTTATAAGTATTTATTAATGTATTTCAACCTGTTTTTTAGTATACTCAAATGTTTGTCTAAAGTCCTAATATACGATTCCAATAATATATTTTTGTTTACGATAAAGATAAAAATTCTCTTTCATTTATGGTAATTTAAATTAAAAGCGTTTTTCAACAAAAAGTTAAATAAAAAAAAATTCAAAATTATTTTATTGTTGTTAAATAATTATCATACATAATATCAAATTGTTATACTATACTATAAATATTTTTTAATTTCTTGAAAATTTTTTTTTTTTAAATAAAATTTGCGTGTGACATTTCTCTAAAAAAAAAAGTGCAAAACTAAAAAATACTGGAATTTTTTTTCTTTTATTTAACCTAGTGTTTGTATAATTTCAATCACATAAATATATTTTCTAAAAATATTTCTTTTACATCGTTCTTCAAAAAATAATGTTTAAGTTATATGCCGATTTTGTAAAATTATACAGGGTGTTCAGTAAATAAGGAAACGAATTTCTATTGTACTCATTGTTTGTAACAATTTAACTGTTTCCTAACTTACTGAACACCCTGTATAGAGTTTTCAGTAAATAAGGAAACGGGTTTCTATTGTTCTTATTGTTTGTAATAATTTACCTGTTTCCTTACATACTAAACACGCTGTATAATATATCAAGAGTAACATTATTTTTGGAGTTAAGATATAAAATCGAAGTCAATTGTCACATTAGAGTTTATGTCAATCGAATTACGAAACTGTACTGTATAATGATGTTTATGTTCGGTTTCGTTAGTTCTTATTGGTGTCAAACAAGTTTGATGAGTTGTTATTCTATATAGATAAATGAATTATTTTATTTACTTATTATTTTCTATATTGAACTAGTAGTGTAAATCACGTTTTATATTTCTATTGTTAAAAAATATTATAACGACTGTAATTATATTATAGTTATAATAAAGTATAATTTATTAAATAAATTTGTGTAGCTGTGCAATCTTTCGATTAATAAGGGGAAATTTTGTTGGGCTTTTTTGATAAAATTAAAAATTAAAAATTCAATGTTTTGATTTTTTCTTAAAGCTAAGCCTGAATAAAAATAAGATCATTTAAGTGATCTACAGATGAACTAAAAATATTACTCTATTCAAATTATTTTATTTAAATTTGGGAACAAGTTTTGATATTGTAGTTCATTTAAAATTTTATTTGACAACCAGTATCATTTTAGAACACCGAGCGTTATTATGTGTAAGAAATAGATCTAATTAAAATAAAATTTATAGGGTTTATTTAGTCTTTTTGTCAAATAGTTTCATAAATTTTATCTTGATGATTTGACAAATGCACTATAACTATTATATATTCTTTAGTTTGTCTATTTACTTTTCGTGTTTACATAGTATATACTTTCACCAATTTTAAGTTTAGATTTGCAATTTTAGTTAGTAGTTAGTAATAAAAAAAAATATGATATATTAATTAATAGATAAATAAATAGGAAGGAAATTTATCATATAAATATAGCCTTATAATTGTATGAGGATAATGAATATTAATTATGGTTTAATGCATCCTCTCTACTAATATTTCGTGTACAGTAAATTATCAACTATTTTTTAAATATTTTTATTTCTTAAAAATATTTGCACAAAAGTTGATAAGTTAAATTCAGACTCAAACTATTAATCAATGATTTATGTGTTCATAGATATGTGAATGTGTTTCTCTTAAGGTAATATAAGAAAATATAAGTTGGATATTTTGTATAGAAATTTAATATTATACAATTTTATAAATATTTATCATTATATCTTACAATGTTCGTGTTGATTTGAATACTAAATTTAATTTTACGGTATACACTTAAACTGTAAATCAATAATGAGGCATTTAGCAGAGATAAGTTAT